AAATACAACAAAGGTATACAATACAATACAATGTAATACAAGTATACAATACAAATACATATAATCATTTGAAACAATGAAAAGTGCATTGAATAGTATCGATATCTTCCGCAAAAAATGTGGCGTTTGCTTAGAAAAAGGATCACTTTCAGGACACACAATAATTCCAATCATAGACAATGCCATGGTAAACTACGAAGGAACTGGATTGATCTAGAGACAGATTCGGCTTCTTTTCAAAGGTTTTCAACTGCCATTATCAGTTGCATTCCACGCTGTATTATAATAGGTTGGTGCAAAATTGATAAGTGTTTTTCTAGGCCCTGTTTCAGAACAAACTTTTCCATCTTACTTTCTTCTTTCGAACAGACTTTTGCTTTACTTACCTGGTCAGAATTTGAGCGCGAATGATGACCTTCATTTGGCGACACTTCATGTGGTAGAAATGTCTACAATACCACTCAGAGAAGGTGCAAACGATGTCAAGGTCCTCAAGGCGCCTTTTGTATCGGACAAAAAACACGTCTGCCCGGACGACAAGCCATGGAGACTGTTTTATGCTCTACACCTACAACGCCAGGACACTTCCACAAACGCCGACCTCCACGTTATTCTCGACAATGCAGAGCAGATCAAGTATCATGGCTCTGCAGATAACGAAGTCCAGGAAGAACGACGTGCGACAGATGAGTGATGAGACCCCCATCATTCGTGTGAGAAGGTCCCATCATGAAACGTTGGAGGCGTTGGCTTTGTCTTTCACCCATCTAACGTCCTCACCTCGATTCGCAGAGATCCTATCACATCGACTAACCTCCTACGACTAGCTTTTCACGTCATCAGCATCATCAACTGATACTCTCCGGCATCAGCAGCTAATGAATCAGAACTAGATCATTTCTACGAAGATGTGGAGGAAATCGTCCGCAACGAGAAATCCTTTTGCAAGTTTGTTATGGGCGATTTCAACGCGAAAATCGGGATGCCACCAGGAAAGAATTGTAGGATCGGGAAGTCTGGATATGGGCTCCGGGACGAACGAACACGGCAACCGTCTCCTTGGGCTACTCTCCGCTGCTCGACTCTTCCGTGGAAATTTCATCTTCATGAAGAAAGAACATCGCCGGTGGACTTGGGAATCGCCCAACGGACGACTCACGCAGAGATCGACCACAATCTCACCAACCGAAGATGGAGCTTGCTTGATGTCTCAGTAGTTCCATCCTTCCGCAGTGGCTCCGATCACCGTCTCCTTTAAGCGAGGGTACGATTCAATCGAAAGCTGAAAAAAAAAGGCCTGCCACAGTACCGCAAGAAGGAAGTATGTCGTTTATGACGGTAACAGGCTGCAAGAGCTCATATGAAGTGACTGGCCCGTTGAGGAGGACCCAACGTACGACTACGACCGACTTCTGAAAGGATTGCGAGCCTGAGGTGAATGCGCCTCAGTGACTTCTGAGAAGAACTTGGAACGCATTTCGAAGACCACCAAGGAATTGCTCGAAAGAAGAAGATTTCTGAGGCAGGATCCGAATGCAACCCATCTCGAGCGACTGATAGCCAACGCCAGTTGCAGAACAGCTTTGCAAGAGGATCTCAGGAAGTACAGGCAAGCCAAGAACTGGAAGCAGCCAAAGGAAGACGATCTTAAGAAGTGCCGAAGGGACCGCTGTGAACATCAAGTGCCGCTGGCTGCAATATTGAACGAAAACGGGCCCCCAACTTCTCGATATAAGACGGAATCCACCGCTAAGGACTTCTATGTCGACAAAGATTTAATGTAAATAGTAGAGACTGCCTTTGATCAATTATTTGGTATGCATGTCTTATTTCATCGTTCATTTTGTATATTATTTGACAGGTATTTGTATGTATTTGTTCATCTGTTATTTGTTAAGTCAAGTATTTGTGATGCACTATCATTATCGATTTGTATAGTCTCAAGTTGAGCTTAGCAGCATATCGCTTATCTTGCAACAATCTATGTTTCATTTCCCTGTAAAAGTTATGAAAAGCTTATTTTATCAGATATCTGTCTGTATAAAAAGATTCTAGTTCGCCGTAAGGTCATGCTTCCAACGCAAGTGAGTATTCAAGCAAGTGTCGCTCAAGCTTCCCCTATTCTCAAGTGTTACCCTAGGGCGAGAAAGAAGCCTTCACCTATTGGTGTAGCAGATTAGAAGATAAACATATTTCAACATATTGTCTTCAAGCGACACACAAAACCCGCGTGGCAAGAAGATCAAAAAACTTAATACAAGCAAATATCTTCTACAGGAAATAAGACGATCTTAAGAAGTGCCAAAAGGGACCGCCGTGACTCCGTCGCGAAGAACTTCTATATCAACCTCTTCCGCTGATCAATACCCGTACCGATACTCGTTGTTCTCACTGGAGAAGTGCCACCACGAATTCTACCCAGGGTCAAGCGTGGGGTGTGGCACACGAGCGCCGGATACGACCCCCTTGGTCGGACCCCAGCACGACCCCCCCCCCCCCCCCTTTCACCCCGCCCCTAGCATTTGCTAGAAACGATAGAAAAACAGGCTTTACTCCAAAAGAGAAACAAAAAACACACAAAATGAAAACAACCCAATGTTCAGTCAAATGATGAAAAGGTTACCAAAATTAAGCTGTTGAGTTGCTCTCATGTTTTGGCTTTGAGCTTTGGGGGAACCACGACTTGAGCCAATATTCAGATGTCATCTGTAGAGTTTTCGTTGCTGTATCGAATGATACCCTTCACATATTTTCTGCGATTCGTCTTGTTGCTCTGATGTAAAAAACGACATTTTTTTCTTTCCAACTTATATTGAAGCGTTGTAAAAAAAACATTAGGAACATATCTTATATATAAAGCTGAATGTCTGTTTGTATGTATGTCTGTATGTATGTCTGCATGTATGTACGTATGTTCCGAATAGAAAATTCCATTTCTGAACCGATCCGGACCAAACTTGGCACACATACACTTCGGGCCCCGGCGGGTGTCATAGGCTACTTTTCGTCATCGATCGATATCGATTTTATCGATTTTTTGCAAAATTTGAGCTACAGGGCTGGGAGTTGGCACAGGGGGGGGGGGTAATCGAGCATGCTGATCATCCCCGTGGGGGTGATCAGCATGCTCGATTACACCCCTCTGCCAAATTCCAGCCTCCTAGCTCAAATTTTGCAAAAAATCGATAAAATCGACATCGATCGATAACGAAAAGTGGACTGTGACACCCGCCGGGGCCCGAAGTGTATGTGTGTCAAGTTTGGTCCGGATCGGTTAAGAAATGGAATTTTCTATTCGGAACATACGGCGGAGCCGGGTAAGCCAGCTAGTATACTCTAAAAAAGAAACTTGGCATAAAAGGCATCTGTTTATCTTTACTCTGTCCGGAGGTGGATAAGTTCAAAAAACTGACAAAACTTTCGCACCGACCTGATATTTTCCAGTTTTGCATCCCCCAATTATGAAAAGAATTTGATATTGTCGCCAGATCTACGAAGCAATTGCAAGTGAACTACAAGACAAGTCTGCGCATTGCTTGTGAGACAATGCCAAAACCGGCTCTAGATATCTCATAAAAAGGTTAGTATGCAGGACAACGATATCTGATATGGTCGTACCACATCAAATCAACAAAGTCTCAAACATTAACTTTCGGCTTTCACTGAAAAAATCAACGGTTGAAATCTGTTCATGGTTGTGTTGCATACGAAAAATATCTTCGCACCATAAAAAGGCTTCCGTAATACTCGAAAATCTACGGAATTATTCAATTTTTTAGTCATCAACATTTCAACTAAGAATTGTACAAATGAAATTTCTTTTTAGAAGAGTGTACCAAAAGGATTCAGTCAACACCAATCTACAAAGTTTCTTGATCTGCACCAACATTCCGATTAAAGCATCTCCATAATCCGAATGTGAACCCAAGTTCTAGCTTTGCTCTTCAGAAATCAAAAGCAACTGAATTGTTCAGCTTTTACCATGCTCTAACATAATTAAATACAATTTCCATGGTGGGAAGAAGAAAAACAGGTAAGACACCTCTGCTTCAACACTAGATTTCAAGGCAAATAAAGCCAAGAGCTTCAAGGTAACATTCTAGCGAGAATTCGCTATTTGTATGCCCTTTTGCTGCGCATCATATGCTAACGGCATGACTATGTAGACTACCTTTCTTTCAGAAAATGTTCAAATTCTTGAATCAGCGCAAAAGGTTACAATTTTCATTGTAAATCTCAAAGAATATATATGTACACAAAACAGCTATACAATCATAAGCAGTGTAACAAAAGTGCATTCACGGGATATATAGATGAAGACCCGTCTTCGAAAAAAAAAACAACATAATGAGACTTAATCAATTTCAATACTTTTGACTTGAGAAACAACCAAAACTCATGAGTACATTATCTGCTGATGAGCTTGAACTTGGGAGAAAAAATTAATTTCGGCATCCAATTAAAGGCATGACTGAGAGGAGAAATAAGATTAGAAGCAATGAGAGCACATTCAATGGCACAACCCCGGATAGATGAACACGTATAGACTTTTGTCAGGATTGCATCTGACCCTCTGCTGAAACTCCGTCAGCATGAACGTGGCGAGGGTCACTTTTCAAAAACTATCTCAATTACAACTTTAAGCGACTATCATTCGCAATAAACGACAAATTTACAAAGAAAATGAAGCCAGTAAGTCTAAGCTTATGGCATGCATGACTAGCGATGGATAGCGAGATGACTCATCATGTCGAGTATTGGGGGGTATGTCAAGAGGCGCGATTCCTATTGCCAGATGGATAGCATATAGCACATATTTAGTGTTTTATGAAGTTCTAAAATTACTTGAAATTTCGAAAGAAATATATGGGAATTTAAGGATTGTTCGATCTCATCACCTCGAAATCGATTTCATACAAAATTGTTAAAGGTCAAAAACACATGAAAATGCAGTTAACAGCAATTTTTTAAATATTTCTGTCAGTTTTCTAGCAAAAGTCGTCAAACTTATCAAATGGTTAGTTAAAACAGCTAGTAAGCCAATGCACTTTGTCCGGCACTTCTTGAATTCTCCCATAGCATAAAACTGGAGTTTTATGTTGATGACATCCAGAAAAATCGCGTCTCTTGACAGTCTCCCGAGTATTGGCAAGCATTAATACGCGAAGAGCGCTTCTCGAAGTCAAAACTGCCGGATACCTCTGAAGGGTCCCACCACCGAAAAAGACAGGTCAGATGCAAATCAGGAGCTAGTCCTTGAAAAAAACGAGAAAAAACCACACGACAAAGAAGTAAACACCGGAGTCTCCGATGCGTGCCTATTGCTCCCATCGCGTCATCGGTTCTTGATACATCTCAAAGGTAGAATAGATAATCTGTCCAGGTTCGGCGTCTCCCGGGGAAAGGCCGTGACTATCTTGTGAGATCGAGTCGGTCACCGGTGATAGCCCAGACGCAGGACTTAGCCCAGTTTCGGTGGCTAACACTTCTGCAAGAACAATTTGTATTGATGCCACCGAAACCTAATTTAAAGTACCATTCATTTGAGCCCTTCGGCGTGCTTCTTCCTGGGCTCGCTTTCTTTGTCGCCTCTGTGCATCACGCATAGCGTTGTACTGCCTACGCTCCTCACTGTAAGTTACCATATTTGAACGTTAAATAGTCTAAGGAACTCAAATTGAGCATACAAGGTATTAGGATTAGGTAGAGAATCATGATGTTGCTCTTATACAGTCAGTAGTTACTATAACAAAAATTTGGCTTAATAGCGAACCTGTTCATTCGGTGATACTTTGCTCTGGCCTGTTCTGCTCTCCTTGCTCGTCTCATTTGGGCATCAGCGATAGCTCGTCTGGTTTCTTCGTCCAGTGTGTCTAGCGAACAAGTTTCAGCTAAGTGACACAGCTCTTCATCCCGTTGTCTAGCCTGAGAAACAACATATGTGCATTCAAATGTGCTTCCAAGAAGCTGATAGCAACTACCTTTCGCAGTAATTCAGCACGTTTGGCATTTTGCTGCTGACGTAGCTCTGGTCTCATGCTGTGATATCTACAAGAATAATCTTTTTGCATGAGTTTGCTTGACCATAAGTCTACCGTATTCTGGCTCTCTCCGCTCGCTTCGCTTTGCTGATTTCATTCCTTTCAGCCACAGTCAGACCTCGCGTGCTACCTTCTCCTGTAGATGTATTAACAGCTCTTCGAAGAGACTCAGGTTGAGGTTGCGGTTGGAATCGCAAATTAGACTGCGAGGAATCCGGCTGTAAATAAGAATTACAGTAACGGAAAAGAGAAAGTGTTAAAAAATTTTTGACCAGTTCACCGGCTTTTTTCCAAACAGGAAAAAAAAAACTTCTTGGGACAGTTCGTATGTGTAAGATATGACTATCAAGCCTTATATTCAAGCATTGAAACGGCAATATGTTTCTACTTGTATGAATTGTAAACAAACAACAGGTGCCTCATTTTCGGACCTACAAAGGTGAACATGGCGAGAGGAGAGGGGAATTCAAGTCGAGTTGCTAGCAAAACTTTTAGACACCCAGGTGTTGAAGACAAAAATAAACCATAGCCCCCTTCTCTGCTTATTGTTAGTCCCCCTAATCCGATATTACCATTTTAACAAACTTTATAATAAGGTAAATCCACAGTAATTATCCACTTACCATGTCATCAATGACTATTTCGTGAGAAGCATAGAGAGTATTGGACGGCTCAAGAACCATGGAAGATGATGAAGGGGCAAGCTCTATCTAAATATCTTTTGCTACAAGGAAGTTCGGAGGCATAAGCAAGGACAAAAGTTCAAACTATAGACTCAGATATGCTTTGCATACACTGTCTAAACAAATTTGAACTTTTGATGTCATGGTTCTGATTGGTATATACCTACATGAGATATGGCGCATGTCCCAGAACTGTTCCCATATGAACCATCAATGTGGCTGTCTTTCGCTTAACATATCAACTTCGAATAAGCTCCTTAAATTCGCTGGAATTAGCGTGGTGAAACGATCGAAAGACAGCCACGTTGATTGTTCATATGGGAACAATACTGGGGGATGCTGATAAATCATAAGAATTTGCTCACAACACGATAAATCTTGTTTGAACATGTGTGCAAAGCGTACTCGAGCTCTTATTTTCAAAATGTTTACCTGATCTTGCGCATTTGCAAACGTTAGCGTTTTTCCGTCTTCCACATTTGTGATAGGCAGTGGTTGAGGATGGATGAGAAAAGGCTGACCATTTGTTATAGCCCTGCAAATAGTCGGTGGATTTTTGAAGGAAAAAAATTGACATTAAAAGAAAACCTTAATTGTTCTTCGCCTCGTATCAACGTTCCGTCAACAGTTCGCAGTTCCACCGGCTGCCCATTAGCATCCAAACCAGTAAGCAACATGTCATGCAAAGCTTTTTCGTCTATCAGTTGCGACGGCTAAAAAACTCTGTTCGGGTGAGGAAACCGAAATTAATTAGGTCTGATTTACCTGCACGTAACATTTATCATCGACAATGTGACCATCACCCGTGATAAGGACTGCATCCCCATCGATCAAGTGCTGATCTACGGATGAAGTATAACGCGTCGTCTGTGATTGTTGCTGCTGTCGGGCCAACGCCATATGCGCCTTAATTACGCGAATAATAGCATGACTGCACTTCGCGAATTTAGGCATTTTATTGATACTGAGGTGATCAATGCCTACCTGTTTTGTTCTTTTAATCACTTCTCGCTCCATTTGCTCAAAAATGTCGTCTGCAGAATGTGACATCTACAAAAGGACTCTGAATGGCTTTTTTAAGCAGAACAAAGAAATGCACCTGAGAAGTAGAATTGAGATGTTGTTCCATAGCAGTTGTCAATTCATTCGAATCCAGCAACGACATAGAGTGACTTGTTTCAAACGACGAGCTCATGCCAGAAGAATCACCCATATCCCCAGATACTGAAGGCAGAATTTAAACACAACAGTCTTGGTGACAGTATGCATATTATCTGACTAACCTTGCGAACAATTCGAGTTCCCAAGACCTCGATTTTCACGGCTCAGGGCTCTCATCTTTTTTGCTTGTGCACGTCTCATATTATATTCCTGAACAACACATACTTCATCTTTCTTTCCAACTGATCGTGTTGAACAAAAAATGCAAACCTTCCGCTGCTCCGGTGACATCTTTTGATAACGTGCCCTGGCGGCTTCAGCTTTTCTAGCGTTTCTTATCATAATTTGTTGAGCCTGAATTTTATTATATTGAAGGAAAGAAGGTTATACGATAGCTCACTTTTTGCAACGCTTCGGCGGAGATTCGACCAGCTGGGGTGGAGAGTAGAATCTCCTCTTCGAGACGTCTCTTGCGAAATGATTCTGTTCGCCTCTGATTGTATTCCCGCTTTTCTTCCGCTGTCATGCGGTGATACCTGCAAATGATCACGTTATCGGCTGCGAAGGTAAATTTTCATAGCTATCAAAGCATTAAGATTATTTTTGCGCCGAAACTCTTAACGATAGGTCCTGAGATATTCTTGGAATCTAAGTGCTGTCTCAAAAAAGGGCGAGCTCGAAGTGGCCGATCCGGATGTACATCATCACGAAGAGCTTGAAGCGGCTTGAAACGAAAACGCTTGAAATTCAAATCTACTTTCCTTTTCTGTAGAACGCTTCTGGGAGAGAAGTCATGGACTTTTATTTGCGCAAAATTTGCAAGCCGCCTGAACATTTTGACCTCAAACCTACTTGGAACAGCTTCTGCATGCCTAATGTAATGCTAGCCCTTTTTGAATGTTATCTTGTAGCGCACCAAGCAAAACAATCTCCATTACTTGTAATCTCAAAACATGCAAATTTCGATGATAAAAACGCCCTAACTTCTTTCGCAAAAGCGTTCTGCAGCTAACAAGGGAACGATACTTAGGCCCGTATGCACGTACATCCCCGCGGGGAGGGGAAGGGATCTGAGAGGGGAAGCGCCATATCTCACTGCTTCAGATATCTTTCTTCCTTCTTCACTATCTTGCTTACAAAGGTTCTCATACCCTTATACCTGCGCATTATTGATGCCAGGTTACTGCTGTACAGGATTAAATATTCACTATTTCTTCCGATCCCCAGGGGATCACCTCACATTTTCAAAGTCATTTTTCTTCCTGAAAAATCAATGAAAACGCTGCAAAATTGAACTGAAGATATACTACGATGCTGAGCATGTTTTCGACAGAAGAAATGGGATCTGAAGATTTTGATTTTTTCGATAATCCCTGGCTCGCGAGCAGCGGTTCATCGAAGATTTTGATATCTTGAGATTTCACTCATCGCTACCATAAACATGTTTAGCATTGCTGTCGTATATCCTCAGTACAATTTTGGAGCATTTTCATCGAGTTTTCAGGAAGATAAATAACTTTGAAAATATGAAGTGATCCCCTGGGGATCCCCAGGGGATCAGACGAAATAGTGAATATCTAATGTTGTATGGCAGTAACCTGGCATTCGTTATGCGCAAGTATCAGTGTATGAGAACCTTCAAAAGCAAGACGGAGAAAGAAGAAGAAAGATACGTAGACTAGCGAGATATGACGCTTCCCCTCTCAGATCCCCTCCCCTCCCCGCGGGGATGTACGTGCATACGGGCCTTAGTGTCCGTGGCCGTTTGAGAATGTATACCATTACACGTGTCTTCAAACGCTGATTCCGAATCTGACTTCCGTTTCTGCTGAACGTTTCTCTGAAAGAAGTTATGAAGGATTTTCGCGCCAAATTTGCCCTCCAGAGATATAATAGGAACACCAATACCGCCGGTAGTTGTGTTGTAGTGGCTAATGCGTCAGCCTCACAAGCTGAGACAGGTGTAGGATCAGATTCTTTTGTATTATTCAATTTTGCATTGCCTCAATTAAGCTTCTTTTTGAGATTAAATTTCACCGAGGTAGATGCGTGTCCTTAGAATTTGACGAGGAATCATTTTTATACGAGTATTTTTATATCTATACTAAGAGGTGCCTATGAAAATGAAGACGATCGGAAAATAAATGCATGTTAATGTGTTACCATGTTGGTGTTCCTATCGTATGTGCCTCGCACGGCCAGATTTGGCGCGAAAATCCTTCATAACTTCTTTCAGAAAAACGTTCAGCAGAAACGGAAACCAGATTAGGAATCAGCGTTCGAAGACGAGTGTATTGGTATACATTTCATCTCAAAAGGCCACGGACACTAAGTATCGTTCCCTGGTAAGAGAGGCAGAGTTGAAATTAGCACTCCAAGCTCTTTGCAACGGTATGCATTGTTGGTACGGCCGCTTCGACTTTGCGACCCTCCACTGTTAGAATTAAAGAGCCAGACAAAAAACAACATACCGTAATCGCGCGGCTTCTGCCTTCTTAGCGTTCGCCATTTTTATGTGTTCTCTTATAGCTTCGTTGTCAATGAACGCTCCTTTTGGCATATCCGGATCCAATCCTAGAGCACGAAGACGTCGACGCTGATTATAAACCCTGAAATATGCTCACAATAAATTTCGAGCTTCTAAAGCTTGATACAAGAAGATGACAAATAGAATGACTGCGTGAAAGGTTTTCTCTAAACTCTATTAGCATAGCTGTACGTGAGGAAGTGAGAGCTGGCAAAAGCAGAGGGGATTTTTAAGTAAAGCAAAACATGAACCAACTTTCTTTCTGCTTCGCTCATTCGTTGATATCTGGACCGTGCAGCTTCAGCTCGACGCATTTTTGACCTTTGCTCGCGATACTTTTGAAGGTCAATCTAAATCACCTAGAGGTAATGAACAACAGTCAATCTTCTTTTCACCAAAATTTGACACTTAACATTTGATTCAACTGGCTTGGCATTCGGGAAGGCGGGGCTTCGTGACCTATAACGCTAGGTAATGATCAGAGAGCACTCGGCGAGAGAGACGCAGGTGCGTCGCGGGCGCGAGCGGCCTCAATTAGGCCGCAAAGCCCCGCCCTGATGATGCCAAGCCAGTTGAATCAAAGGTTAGTTTACCTCTCCTTCACTGGAGTCGCGCAGCAACTCATCCAATTCCTTCCTATCCTTTTCGCGCCGCATTTGCTCAGCTCTTTGCTTCTTCTTCATTTCATCTAGTTCCTCGTCAATCGACTGCACATGGTCGAAACTGAAAAATGTTCTCCAAAATGAAATAAAAAGCGCGATGAATTGATGAAGCACAAATCTTGAATTATGGTTCAAGGCGCGGTATGTGTAGATTTTGATGTCGCTTGCTGAATTACTTCTAAGGAAAATTATTTAAGTATTGTCGCGCATTCTTAGACAAGAGAATTCAATTACAAATCTCCAGCTTGAAGACGTGGAAACTTCAATTTCGCCGACAGAAAAATGGCCAGTCACACATAGTTCGCGCCCATGAAGTATGAAAGACGAACGAATCAAAGAATCAACATCTCAGCCAAGTTTCCAATCATGCCAGACTGACTTTGGGCTTACCAAGCCCTGAGCAGTTGAAAAAAAGTTCAATACTTACTCATCATGATCCTGATGGACGCTGTCCATATCTTGGGATGAAGTACTTGGCTCATGTTCGACAAAGTAGGTATCGATGAAGGCATTCATTTGATCGGCTTGAGCGACGGCTGGGTGCTCCTTCGACATGGTGACTGAGCTTGTTAGCTGAATTAATAAGGATCGTCTAATCTCGAGACTTCGGTTTCTCTATACCAAGCCGTTGTCTGATGTTGATAACGACTGCGAGAGTTCTGGAAGTCGGTTTTGCAAAGAACTCTGCGGACTCAGATCGGGAGATGTCGTTGACGACATGATGTTTGACGACACGAGAAGCTAAATGACTTGAAGGTGTGAAATGTACCAACTAGAGAAAAAGCTTACGTAGTCATTTTTCCTGTCATTGGAAAAAAGAGTGCTGGAATTGGCGTGGAATGTTGTGGGTGCTGGTGAGTAATATGTTGTGGTCTACAAATAATGAACTAGAAATTATGAAAATAAATGTTAAAAGTGAAATATACCTGTGGGTGAAAAGAGAGGCTGGATTGTGAAAATGACGACACCTCAGCAGGAGTAAGAGTCTCCAGAATCCGACTGTGGGGTGAAGCATCCTCTCTTGGAGAACCAGCCGTAATGTAGATTGGATGTTGGTTCATATAGCTTAAGATCACTGTAACTGATAAAAACATCGAGAAGGCGTACATAATATATGGAGCGTACGTACATAATATATGGAGCGCTCAACACAATTTCAGTTAACAGTACAGGCTCTATGGCAATAATTTTTATTAAGTTCGTGTAACTCAATTCCTCCGTTAAACAGTACATAAACAATTAAACGACAAAAAGCTATTATAAAGAAATAAAACGTCATGAACTGTATTATCTCATTATCTTAAAACTACAAAGCATTGTATCGCGAAACACTGCGATAGCAACTTCATATATATTAAAAAACACCAAGGATAGCAAGAGCTGCAAACAGGCACACAATATCAGAAAAAACATCAAGATACATATAAAAGTGACGAGAAACCTCTCAATACTCTCTAACTTTGCATTTTCAGCAGGAAACGCAAAAAAAGTGCGGCTCGAGGTGTTGAAGTTGAACATTCATGCTGCAAAAGGTCATTTCTCTTCTAATCACGAAGGTCCCTTCTCATGAGTGTACGAATTTTCACTTTCAGGGCTATAGTAAGTTCGAATACCGCTTTCCCTATCTTTTAACGCGTACGGATCTGCATCTCCACGAAAATCTACGGTAATGTCCCAATAAATCAGAAACTGATCACAGATACTATCAAATGCGCTTTCTGCCACTACGATTATGATAAGCTCAGCGTGTCATAATGCTTGCTCATCATGGGTCGATGTAAAGCAAAATGCATTGGCAGTACGGCAGCACAGAAAGAATGTCAAGCACTTAGCAGCTGCTGCACTGATGAAAAAGAGTCCCAGAATTAACATGAGCAGAAGTTCTGCAGACCACAAAAGTGAAAAGAAGCGAAGAGAAGAACTCACTGGGAATAAAACGCGACCAATTACGATTTTCCATGCACACTTCAAGCCCGAGATGGAGGAGCTCCATATGGATTAATTATTTGCTGCTGAACATGCTGCCCGTTCACCATCATTCCACCGGTAGCATAAGTGATTTGTTGCTGCGTACTCTGCTGGTGTACCAACTGTTGACCATTAGAAGTGGTAGGGGCTTGATGCTGTTGCACAACGAGATGACCGGACGTCGACGGCATCTAAGGGAAGATATGATCTTCGTCAAATCTTACGTTGTCAGCCGCATCCGGGAACCAAAACTACCTGCTGCTGAGCAACGGTCACATGACCACCCTGTTGCCCAGGAATGGTTTGTACCGTCTGTACAGGTACTTGATGAACGGTATGTACCACTTGCTGATGCGTCACGCCATTTGAAGGAGTCAGCTGGATCTTAATGATCCCAACATCAATAGGAGAATAGTAAGAACAATCAAATCCGAAACTTACTTGTTGCACTTGAGTCTGCCCGATATGAGTGACGGGAGTGGAAGCTCCTTGTTGTATGATATAGGTTCCGCTTTGAACTCCTTGCTGATTTGGAGTCGAAGTCACTGGTTGAGAGAGCACTTGTACAGACTGACGTTGCTGCCTCATTATCGCCTAAAAGAACAAGTTATTTTAAAGTTGATCCAGGTAAATCTGAGTGCCCAGAATCCTTCCGTAAAAGTTGTTGAAAAACCTCAGCAGCCATTGCCCCAGCAGCAGCTGATATAATCCATTCGTGGCCAGAAAATTCATCTCTATACTTTCTTCCAAACTGGACTTTCGAGCGGACCAATCAGATAAAGCCGGCTGGTCCACTCGAGAAGGATAGGCTATGGGCGAGGGTTAAAAATTGAATTCATCGGACGCGAATGAATCATATGAGTTGCCGCGATGCTTCAGTTAAGATATTCCAATCATTTCACACAAAAAGCCTAAGTGTTCAGATTTGAAAACTGATTAATCAGCTGGACACTGTACTTTGGTCACATCATCGACTTGTGCCCAGAATTTAGGTAGTGAGCAAATTTCAGCAGCGTTAAAACAACAATTTGCGCCCCGGACCGCACCATAGCAACTGTATTGCATCCACTAACAACAGAATATTCGTAACTGTGAACTATGAACGATGCCCTATCCGACATGTATTTCTTTATTCAAGCTTACTCTCATACCTGCTGCGCTTGTTGCGTCTTCTTCAGCACATCTCGTTCAATAGCAGACAAAGCATCTTCTTCCTAAACATCAAGGATAAATTTTACAAGTGGTTTATGTGCCACATGTTCTTAATAACGAGTGTTAAATACCTTTTTACATGATGCTAACGATCCGCCACTGGAAGACATCATAGAGTCCATACCTTCAAGGCGCTTACGTTTCGGCGTGTATCTCTTTTGGTTGTATGACTACAAACAAACACATCGTCGATGAAAGATTTAAGAGGAAACTGTCACCTTTCTTTGGTCGGGCGTCATTCGTTGGTATCGCAATCGTGCCGCCTCTGCTCGCTTTGCGTTACGCACTACGATTTGCTGGGCCCTGCATGTATATGTCAAAATATTTTACAGAGTTGATTAGCTCAGATAGAAACATACCTGTCAAGAGCTTCACCATTAATTCTACCTATTGGCATTGCTAGAAGCATTTCTTCTTCCATCCTACGGCGTCTAAAAGCCTCTGTACGTCGCTGGTTGTAGATACGTTTTTCCTCTTCTGTCATACGATGGTACCTGTCAATGATATACGTTTACTCATCTTTACCTAGAAAAAAGAATGATGGAAGCAAACCTTTGACGAGCAGCCTCTGCTTTCTTCGCATTTTGAGCCTTTATATGAGCTCGCACTGCTTCCTCATCTTTTATCGGATCTCCAGTTCCTCCAGCAGCCTAAAGAAGTTATCTCTGAATTGCATGAGAGCTTTTAATTCAAACGAAGACTGAGAAGCAGATAACGTATACGGAAACAAAGCACAAGCATACGATGGCTAACCTTCACAGCTGCTAACGCATTCTGCATTTGACGCATACGACGTCGGTTGTTGTGAGCACGACGCTCTTCTGGCGTCATTCTTGCATACCTGCAAAGGGCAGCACATTCGTGCATCACTTCAAAACTGCGTAGTTTACCTTTGTCGAGCAGCTTCTGCCCATTTAGCCCGCATTCTTTTCTCTCGTAGCTGTTCGGTAATGTCAGGATCTTCCTAGAAACACTTGTATGTCTTAATCATATAAGCTGAAGTTGTGATGCCTCTAATTCTCACCTGAATGTCATTAGTTTCCCTAAGTATTGACTCCAACTCTTCCAGCTCTTTTTCTCGCTGTCTCTTCCGTTTCTGCGCCAATGTTCTTTTCAGATTCAGCTCGCGCTTCTCCGCTGGCGTCAAACGATGATATCTGGAATCGTTTCAAGCGATCAAAACATATCCAAGCAAAAAATTCTATGAGCACCTACCTCATTCGAGCTGCTTCGGCCTGACGTGCCTTCTTGAGGCGCTCCTTTTCCGCCTTGTCTGGAGAGACAGGTGCTACTTTCAGGTTCATGTTGACTCCTACTCCTTTTACATTAGTTGTAACTAGTGTACCGCCCGTATAAGAAATTTGTGGTGGAAGTTGAGCTACCTAAAGAACTTAACTAAACTCTAGAAGCAAAACCTAATAGATATTCACCTGCAGCGTTTGCACGCCCTGTAAAGACTGGGTTGATTGCACCTAGAACAAAAAATTTTGTTCTAGGCATCAATCTTCCACAAATAATAACTCACCTGTACTGTCTGATGATTTGGTGTTGCCCATGTCGAGGTCGACGGGGCAGGTTGTTCAATAAAGTACGTATCGAGAAGTTGAGAGATTCTTTTCTCATCATTATCGCTCGTCAAACGCATCTGAGTCTGTCCAACTTGACCACCACGACTAGTCAGTGGAGACTGTTGCAGCTGGAACGGGAATAATCAACAAATGATATCATGGATAATGTTGAAGGCCTGAATAGTTCTTATTCTTAAACAACCTTATAAACTTCTTCTATGCTCCTTTCAATTATGCCGCATCCTATCCCGTTTCCTAACTGAAGGTAAGTGATAGGACACCGAAGTGGAACAAAGAAGCGAAAAAAAAGATCATCAATAAAAACTGGTGAGAAACTGACCGTGATCGTGTTGTTGGGAATGAAAGCAGTTGAGCTAGAAGAATGAAATGGTGCCGTTGAAGATGTGGTATATGTTGAAGACTGGTATGAAGACGGATGGAAGGACATTCCCTGAAGTGCGCATAAAGTGCATATGTAGAACTCTCGGAGTAGCTACACTTTTTATGGGGAATTGCTTGTTCAACTGAGACGCTCACAATCATTTGCTGCTATAACTCTTACATTTACTATAATAAACACAAAAACTTCAACCCTTTCCTTTCATTCTTTCAGTTTTTGATTTACAAGTCTGAAGTGCTCTGGGGAATTATATACAGACTATATTTGAGCGATTCTTCCTCAGCGCCAACTCCAAGCTATTGAAGAGAAAGCCTAGCGAAGCGAAGTTAACTCACCTGTTGCCCCTGAGGGGTTCGAGGATCTGTCGTGTACGTAGTGTACGTCAGATTTTGGTTCATCTGAAATTATAAGTGACACTTGAGCATTCAGGAACGGTTTACACGAGAACAATGACGAATTGTAGGAATAAGATGTGCCAAACACATTCTTAACTCCACCACAAAGCTACTTCATTTCTCGGAAACCCTTACAACACGTACAAGCATTTCTGTACAAGAGTGAGTTATGAAAAACTTATGAAAAACGACATTTGTACCTGTTGCCCGAAATGTAGCGGATGTTGCCTACACAGCGCCGCTGCTGTTGCAGCGCTACATCACCACCCGCCATCCGCCAACAACTCCTATTGTCCCTTCCACGATTGTTTCTACCCCTACTCTGCGTCTCCTCCCCGCGACACGTTATCTAACATGTTGGCAACACGCAACAACATGGCAAAACTTTTTGGCTTCAGCGTTTATGTGACCGTGTTGCTGCATGACGCCAACATGTTAGCCATACTTGACGCACGATAGAGACGCAGTGCAGGGGTAGCAGCAAATGCGGAATGGACGATAGCTGAGCTGTGCGCAAGTCTTCGCGTCCATTGTTGCCAACGCAGCGCTTCTAATGTTGCCGCGAAACTTCTGTCCCCCTCCCCCCCACCCCACCTCCGCCAGCAACAAGTCGTGCGTGCACGCAAGGATGCTTGTTCACTTGCTGTCAACAGCCTTCTTGTCAGCCTTTCCATGCAATACGTTAGCTAATAGTTATAGTTTTATTATTTTTCCTTCCCTTTCTAGAAAACAAAAGAGAAACTTTTCGGGAGCCCTCAACACTTCATGCACCTCGTGCTTAGAAAGCAGCCGCCACAGTAGCCCCTAACGCCTTCTATGAGTGGTACTGATGTCACTGCTGATCCTTGCACATTGAATTTTGGAAACTAGCATGTGGTAAGGACAGAAAACACTTATTCCCTTTTGGTTCCTGGATTACACTAAGAAAATTCCGCGGGAACTGTGCAAGCGAATGCGTCCCTTCGCTTATCAGCAAATCAAATATTTTCTAGCAAATTTCGAAATATGCATTGGGACAGCGTAGGATGATATTCAGTGGGACTTCTTTGGAATATACATAAGGAAATGCAACAATGCTGCAAAAACTGCAAAGTACAATTGACCTCAGTCAAGATAATTCGGGAGTTTTTGAATTTATGCTAGTCATACCATCCAAAGTATAATCAGTTTAAGGAATAGAAACAGCCAGGAATAAAGCGAATTGGCTACGAAGCACCTGTAAGAATTTTGAAAATGATTTACTGGATTTTTTAAGGATTTTGAACATGGTCTCACTCTTGAATAATTACGACATAGGAACTGGCTGGGTGATGAACTGGTACAACAGAAAAAAAACTTGTCATTCAAAGTCAGTGGTTTCGACGGTCAATTTGCAAACCACAATTGCGATTACTTTTTAATCAATTCCGCAAACTCATCGTCTATCACGATGGCAAAAATTCTAAGCTGCTTAACAATCATCACTGCTGTAGAATTCCGAACTTCTTACTTTGAAAACATGCTACTCTATCCCTTCTCTTTTTGACAACTACAGGAGGTGAATTACAAAAAAAAACGTGTGCCCTTCAATTACTGGTTTCTAGTACAGTTGCACGCACTTTTGGGACATTGCGTTCCGCTAGTGTGGAAAGTCAACTACTTAAATATTTTCTACGCACTCAGCTATACTTTCTTCCTGATGTTAATTATACCTAGCGGAAAGGTTTCGAAACACAACGTGTCGTTTCCCTACAATTCACAATTGTTCGAAGTTGATTGATGTGACGCGTGTAATGACTATTTGCCCGCGCTCATTAGGCTATATTGGGATTCAACAAGCATCGCAAGCGCTATTTCTCAAAACAAGCTTTTCTCCTTTAGTTCAATAGATAATGGGTGCATGATTCTTAGCGGTTTTTTAAAAGATTTGACGTATTCTGATTGAAATCTCCCACTAAATTTAGTTAAACTTTCACTCAAAAGTTTAATCCAAGCGCTCTAACAGCGGGCAAATCCTATTTTTGGAAACTCTGGACAGATTGCAGTATACAGACACTACTCTACTGGATAGAACTTTAGTACAAAACCGTGCAAATCCCTTTTCCTAACGATAGCTTGCCTTGACCAGTCCACTCGGACAACAAAGCGTTTATCTTGGCGCTATGGCAACAAATTTCATTATACAATTTATATTCGAAGCACGCATTAAACCCTGGATGATTCACGTTTCTATAAGCGCACGTTTCGCGTGAAGCAATTTCTGCAACGAAATCGGGTAGGTCACAACAAATCTGCAATGTGGGAGATATATTGAAGAGTGGAGGTTTGCAAGCGAGATGGTTGCTAGTGGCGGGAGGGTCCCGTACAAAACATGAGCGAAGAGAGCAGGCTGTTAGCGGAGGGCCCCGGCGAGGACGACGAAGACAGTACGGGGGGAGCGTGGGGCGCGGGCCGCTGCAGCACGGCGTCATCGTATCGATCGCAGAGGGGCAGAGGCGAGCAGCCGGGCGGATGGAAAACGCCGAGCGCCGAGGCGAAAAGCGTCGAACGTCGTTGAAATTCTGGAAGATAGCGCTTCCGAAGCAGAGACTCGCGTTTCCCAGGCTAAATAGTGCTAGCGGCAAAGAAAGTCACTTGTAAAGATTGCGCTAAAGTCGAGGATATTAGCTTTGCATTCGGAATGGAGCGAAGAGCGCGGAATTGCAAGTTTTGAATGTTCAAGTCCAAAAGTGGATTGGGAGTCCTTATCAACAATTTCCTAGCCCAAATGGGCAAAAATACTTCAGAGCAAATCTGAACCACAAACACGGATGTTACAAATGACGTAAGCAATGTATTGATTACCACCACTAATCTATGCATTGATCGAACCAGCTTGACCCCGGCAAGACAACCCCGTCCAAAAAGTAAGAATTCTATGCGTATTTATTCAAATATACTGTAGTTTCCTCTTGATCTCTGGCCAAGAGTGAACAGAGAAGGGAGAGGTGGCAGAGTAGTGAGAAGGTGGACAACTAAGCGGCGTTTGTACCCGGCCTCCTGCTCTGCCGCACTCCACCCGCTGCACACTCGCTCGCGCACGCTCGTCGTCTGCGGCGTGACCCGCCTCCTCGCCGACCACACTGCCTCCGCGTGCGCATTTCGCCTGCGTATCCGCTCCCGGCGCGCTGCCTCGCCATCGATTCGACGCTTCGCCTTGCGTCTCGGCGTTCTCTTTCTATGAGGTCTCCCCGGCCCGTTGTCGAGGGAAGTTCTCTCGTAAACCCCCGTAGGAGTCGCGTCTCGGTCTTCTCCTCCCTCCTGTAGTCTCCACTAGTTCTTAAGCGTTGGATAGGCACGTAGGGAGGGTCTCTCATTCTCTGGCTAGGATATAGCTCTATTTTATTGTTAGAAATTGAGCATGCTGATGTCTAGCTATGTCTAGCTTTGATAACTGATGGTCCATCATCAATTGACGCACTGCGAATGAATCGGAAGACTCAGTTTATGAAGTACGCCCCTTATTTACAAATCGACCTGGACACCGGAATGATACAGACTGAATTTGAAAAGGTTATATTAGCTCGTCTACGGTGACAACACCGCTGCAAGAAAGAATTGAAACTATGAACTAGAGTTAAAGTAAATCACGATGGAGTGGAAGGATGGAGTTACTGGAGAACTGTCAATCCTTGCACATTTTTACATGACGTCAAGTCGTCTGATGATGCAGAGCAAGTGCCGGAAGTAGTTGCGCATCGGCGAGTCATAACCTGTGCTGCGATGAATCCTTTGAATTTAGGACCCCAGTTCTGTTTCTTTGAATTTCAATGCCTTTTAGCACAACTACATACTATATGTCCTTCCCTGGGTGCATCGTTGATTTTTGACTTTGGCTTCCGTCATTCTTGAACGCGCTGTGTCTGAAACAGTGCTTCGAAGCTTGTAAAAGTGTCAAGAATTATTCGACGTTCCTACAAGCTGTGAAGCATAGTCATTCCTCTATTAGTACGCAACAGCACTTTCTTGAATTACTTATGCATGACCTTCAGGATTTTATCTTTCGCTGAAGAGACGTGGCACCTGCCCGTGTAGTAACATCTATGATCCTCTATAACTTTTCAGCTCTACATATATGACATTATCTGAACATGATACATACCGGCAAAATTGCAGATAATTATATGTCAAGTTCGTAGGAAATAAGGTTTTTTTGAGGACATCAACATTGGCTTAACTGCGCGGATCATCTGAAGCAAGTGGTTGTGTCTGTTCAGATGAGTTGTAGCTTTCTTGAACAGCATGCTTGACTTGGAAATATAAAACTTTCTGGTTAGCATCTGACAGTCAAATCTTACAAAATACGTTTTCGAAAGTATTAGTTTGTTCGGCTCTCTGATGAATACCTTTCTGACATATAACAAAGTTCTGTAAACAATCCTTGTTGCTTTTACTATTATCTTTATTGAGAGGACTGGTCTGGCGATTTTTGGAGAATAATCTTCCAAAGTTATTTCCAAATGTCATAGACAAATTTCCTTTTCCCACCCACAGCCAATTTTCGAATTCTTCTTCTCGCCAAGAAAAGATCACGAGAATCTGCATCCGCTATGGATTTGCAGCCCTTGTAAACAAAGGTGTTTGCTGTTTTTGCCTATTTTCGAGACTATCGTGGATTTTTATCACCTGGTTACTGTTCGAGCAAAGACTTTTGTAAAAAAATACATATTGAGTCAGACGTGAAGAATACACTGTTCGTTAGCGTCTCCAAAAGATATCTGGCAGCTTGTTCTTGAAAACGAGAGCTTGTAAACCTTTTCAGATGAAGCATTCACAGTTCAGTTCCCATGATCTCGATTTTTGAGCTAATTCACGAAACTCAAGGAACAATGTATGGAGCGCATCGTACGTCGCACCGCTGGAATGTTTACAACTAGACACATCTTGATTGATTGGTTATATTTACAATTTCTTGCTGGATTTGATAACTATCGGAACCGCTAGCGTTCTCGCGTGTACAATTGTTCTGCTGCTGACTCATCACAATTCGATTGGATGATACTTTATTCGTCATTGAAAACAGATGTATTATCCATTCTATGACTAGGAGGTGCGAGACTGCATTGCAGGCATTGTCTGAACAAGTTTGAGTATGCTCTTCCCTGTTATCAAAGAGTGAATAAACCTCGACGAGATAAGTAACAAGTGTAAACCTGCTAAGTACACGATTAAGCTTGTTTAGACAATTTGTGCAATGTGATCTCGCGTCTCCTAGTCCTAGAATGAATGACAGAGTTTTTGAAAAGTGAGGAAAGTGATGGATGTAGCGAGGGACAAATTTCTTTTCAAACCTTTTCAAACCGCCGCTTACGTTAGAATTTTCGGGCTTCTCATTGTAGCTTTCACTCATCGAGAGCAAAGGCTGATCCAAATTTGGATTGGTTACGCGCCTCATTGTATAAACTACGAAAAAAAAAGCCACGAAACGGTGACAGTGGTGACAGCGATTATAGCAATGTTTATTGATGTGGAATATATCACAGTTGCCGTTTCGCTATGAATTCAAAATTCCATAGCATGTACTACAAATTAATCCGGAATCTTTGTCGTTGCCAAACTTATCCAAAAAGGAGCTCTCGCAAAAAACGCTGTCAATCCTTTTTGAAGCTGCGTTCAGCAAGGTATCGTAGGGGTCTCTGTGGGATTATAAATGATGCATTACTTTGAGAACATTTTTTTAAATTTTAAAGTCTGTACCATTTCCGTATAGTGCTTGCTGAATTGCTTAAATACACATACATGCAACAAATCCATCATTTATCTTGGGTCAATAAATTCCACTCAAGACATCACTGAATAATGACAAAAGAAATCCACATGAATGGTGTGGCAGTTTATGTCCTAGTTATTTTCGGCTCTGCGATGTAAGCAAATATTTTCTGCCCCAAAAAACCCGGTTTCTGGAAGACCTATCCTGAAGGCACAGACGACTTTTAGTACCTGGGTGGGCGGGGCTTAATAGGGCGGGCTTGGCTTGATAGTACTTTCGCGGCTCCCGGTCCACTTTTTTCTATTCAGAGGCCACAACAAATGACGGACCAACGCAGACGTTCTACTCCTATTCTTTCTTGTAGACCAGATATTAATCGCGGGGAGCATAGATTTTGTTTGAACGCTGCCTCTAAACTGATGACTTTAACCCAAGTCTCAATATCGATCTTTTGAAAAAATCTCGTTCATCCAGGGTAAAAAATTTGTCAGAGATTGATTGTAGCAGCTAAAGAAAGACCATAGAACAATATCGGCTTATATCATTGATCTTATAGTGACAGAATGAGACATTAACATTGTCGTGTTTGAGATTATTTGCTAAAAATGCCTCATATTCTCAAATCTATCAGTGGTAGGACATTTTATGCTGCATATCTGTATGTAATTTTTTGCAGTGAAGAGAGAAAGCAGTTTTTGTAAGTTTTCTTTCGACCTTTCTTCGCATGTGGAGGTGGGAAAAACTAGCTTTTACACTTCATGTCTTGCTGTTAGAGAGTAATACAAGAATGGCGTAGATGGGGAACCCATCTCGAAAAGATGCGTTGATTGGTAATAGAAATATTTTCTCAAAACTCCCACATAGTTCCCACCAGCTTCAAAAAATTATTCTTACAACTTGTTAACAATGATTCTAGTTCTTTTCTTAAAGGCAGTGTCCGGGCAAAAAGTCGATTTTGAGATTTTGTGCTTATACGGGCCTATTCGCCATGCTAAATCCGAAAATCCATATTGAAAAGCGCGAAAACGGCGAAAAAGGGGTCTAACACGGGAGGGTAATCAGCAAGTGGGCGGGGTCTTCCCCAATGTGGATTCACGCTCCAAGCTTCCGGAGCGATCTTCTCGATTCCAATTTCAAGTCATGCATTCGCACCTGGCCTGTGGAGATCTTAGAGTGCAAGCGGAATTGAGAAGATCGCTCCAGAATCTGGGACAGCGAAATTCACAGTGGGGAAGACCCCGCCCACTTCTAATTTCCCTCCCACGTTAGAGCCCTTTTTCGCCGTTTTCGCGCTTTCCAATGTGGATTTTCGGATTCAGCATAGTGAATCCCGGGTAAGCACAAAATCTCAAATTCGACTTTTTGCCCGGACACTGCCTTTAAGGCAGCACGTCCATAAAATACTTCTTGTTTCTGTTTAATCTACCTATATGTTCTTGCATTGCGCACAACTCTTGTCGAAATGAACATGAAGGGTTTTCTCGTAATCAATGTTCGAGAATCTCTGTGGTAATTTCAATTATGAAGATAATATTTTTTTTCACAGTTTTAATATAGTCTTAAAGTTCTGTGAATTGATATAGTGCTTTCGCGCTGCTTACAACATATGCGCGTAAAACATAACATAGAGCGTGAGTTTTCGAAACTTGCGCCTAGTGAGCATTTTTTTCACGCACAAATGTTGTTTGCAACGCAAAAACACTACGGCAGCTTCGAATAGATCAAACCTATACATGCACCTCTTTGTACCTTCAATACTTGTCATGATAGAGAATTGATTGTCTTGATGAATTCAAATTATGGCCAGACATGGCGCGCTGGTGTCCTTAGCATCTGTTGCAACGTACGCTGACGCAGTTGAAAGATGCATTATCGCCGAAACACGTGTTTTCAAGGTCATTTAAACCTTGTACATGTCTAGCCATAAAAGGGGAGAGGGTGAAAGGATATTTCCTTTATTTGGACGCAACTTTTCAGTCCGTGGAAGAGTCCATGAAGCTAAAACGTGTTGCAAGCTTCTATAGTTTGATAGTTTGACAGTGTTCTTGTCTTATCGGCAACGCGCGAAATTTGCCGATTTGCGTCCCATGGCCATTCTTTCCGCGCAAATGTTGTCGATAAAGCTCGACATTTTTGCCGCGCAAATGTTGTCGTCACCGCATGTACACCACATTAGTGCGCGAATCTGCTAGACTATAATAGTCTAGTAGGAATAGTTCATTGCAGATTCCTTGTCCTGTTCCGGCGGCAATCGCCGTAAAAACTAACTATTTTTACTTTTTTTTATGATAATCTTTGTTTCCATGGGAAATCAAAATTGAGTGTTCTTGTTTTAAAATGATTCTGTTAGGCAGTCTTTCGTTTCTGAAACCCTTACGATAAAGATTCTATCTTCTATAGGCTGCTGCATGGCGGAGGCGCGATTTTGGGAGCGAATGCGACCACCTTATAGCCGCAGAGCGCATGAAGACGCGCGACGCGTTCGCACCCGCTCAACTAATACTGCTTCTGCGCCTTTGCCATGCAGTGGCCTTACAGTTCAAGGTGTAATTTCTGTGTATGTGAAACCATCACAATATTTTTTTTCCTTGAACTTGCAATTATTCGAACTTCCTCAATTATAAGACTAAGTAAGCTTCCAAACAAATAGTGGCAATCCACCAGCTTATTCATCCTCCTTGCCCGATGCTTCATGATAGCAAAAAAAAGAATTGAAGGAACATGGGATGTTCCACTTTACAACCAACTTGCCTGTATGAGCAATGCACGAAATTAGCATCGAATAAATCATTCCCTGCACTCCATGAGCAAATAAAAGATTTATGTCTTTGTAACCAAATCATCCCGTTTTGAAAATTCACAAATCACAGTTTTTTCAATAATACACTTGGAAGGTCTCATTCCAGTAATGCTGAAAAGATCACAAAAGTGATTATTCCTTTTTTGGTTCACTAGGATTAGGACTGAGGTAGTTCTCCACAAATGTGCATGCTGGGTCGATGACGTTGTTGTATACGACTGTGGCTCCGTTGAACATTGGCAGATAAAGGTAGAGTAGGAAACCCATCTGAAAACAATAAAATCCTGGAAGTTGACGAAAAATCAGTATGAATTTATTGAGCACCAATATGAAATCATTGAGGCAGATATTTTATGTCTCAGGCTGCACCCAGAGTTGCCCACGCCAGCGTCGTGCTAGCGCTGTCGATTGATCGGTATGTTGGCACGGTGCTGGCACGGTGCTAGCACAAAGGCAACTCTGAACGCAGCTTCGAGAGAGTATGACAACAATGATATTCTCTTGTTAGTGGAAAATCTTAAAATGGACCATGAAAAAACGGGGATCACAGAGTTCAAAGCTGAAAGTTTCAAAAAAAAAAAGAGACTGCTGTAAATGAGCAAAAAAATTTGTTGGCTGAAAAATCTGTTATATAAATTGATAGTGCACAGACTGCTGTAGAAATGATATAGTGTATTACTATAGGGATCCACATTTAATAAATTGCCAAATTTGGAGGAAGAATGAATTTGTGAAAAGTGTGAAGAAAAGATGCATTTTTTCTGACTCGATGAAGGCAGGGAGTGGTTTTTTTCTATCATTGAAAAGGCATCATTAATCTTATGATTTCCACAAGAAAAAGGCAAAGAAGAAAAGCCAAGTCTGTTTTCGAGAGCAATGCACTAAGTAGGGGTTTTGAAAAACCTAGGAATTTGGTAGATTTTCAGTCAAGTGCGATAAATCTGCGGTGTCACTCAGTGCTTGTTACAATTGTAAACAATCTTCCCGTAAAAAGCGCAGGAATAAAAAGCAGTAAACTTGCGGCGCAGACTCAATGTTCATAACTTTTCGAAGATTATGAATACAACATTTAGCAAAAACAGGTTTTTCCAGAATTATTCAAGGTTTTTAGTGACTGAAAGAGCAGTGAACAATCAACAGTGAACGTTGATTCAATCCTTTAGATTTTCGAATGAATTAAACCAACCTTCAGCGACCAGTAGAAGGGAACAGACGAGAATACCGAAAAATCGACGATTGAGAAAGCAGCAAATACTATCCAGTAGATTAGCCACTGCGTATCATCCTCTTTAATAGGAGATCGTACAGCCTGAAATATTCCTCTGTAGATTCTTTGCAAAGCTAAAAGTTAATTTCCAGACACTCTAATAATCAGAATGTTCTAGACCTTGATGTCACAGTGGTGGTGACATAAATTCGTCGCTACATTTTTTTAGCTATCATGGTCAAGATTTATAGGCAAGGGCGAGGACAAGGAAAGAAAGGAGAAAGTGCATCTGGTCTGCTTGATGTATGCTACACTTCCAAAAGGAACTTGCGATAAAATTTATGAAGAACTGTTGTCTCAAAGAAGATTGTAAAAAAGGTTCTCGATGTGATTTTAATTGGAGAGGGGTTGAGCTTGCTTCGGAAGCCAGTTTTTTCAAATCTACATAAGTAACAGCAAGCAATGTTTTTTCTGGCTCAACTTGGATCCTTTTACTCTAGATGATCAATTACAGTCAGTAAATTATGAGGTCTTCTTGCCAAAAATGATTTGTGAAATACCATACCCAGTTTTTTATTGTTTTCTGTCCCGTTTTCGCTCTTAATACATTGATTCGTGCTCGTTTATATATATATAAGATTCCACGCTAAGCACGATTGCCAAAGGAAATGAAAGAAATGAAGACCATCCCTATATGATGTTTCGTCCCGATCAATATTTTTCAATCTTTTTTTTTGATAAATAAGGTCATGTGGTCTTTGTATTTCACGACAGCATCGTCCATCCTCGCCCCCTCTTCCTCCCATTCAAGCGAATTATCATCTACCATGATGTGAGGTCGTAGTACTTCAGACAAAAACACTTGAGCAGCGGAAAATGCGGATCATTTATTGTTTGCTCTATCTCAGCTCGCCTGAAGTAAACAAATCTTTCGACAACAGAACGCGAGTCATTTCTTAAACATAAAGATTTGAAAGTTGTAAAAAAGATGCAAAGAATATGAGAGTCAAAGGGAATTACTTGAAATCGAGGATCTTTTCAGTGAAACAAAGCTTGAGTTACGGAAATTATGCCTTCTAATAGTGAAGGACTCGACAAGAAATACGTAGAATTGCGCATTGTCTTTTTCTGCTTTTGGTAGATTATTTACAATAGTCCCGTTTACTGCAATAAGGAGTTTCACACCATCGCTGCGAATCTCTCAGAATGGATATTCTCCAAACCAGAAAAGAGATTTATAGTTAGCCTAACTGATATATCAGATTACCTAATCCTTAGCATAGATTATAATGAGAGGGCATTATCATTGCAAAATTGTATACAACTATCAAAATATGCTCAAAACACCTTAAATATTAAGATAGTGCATTCCTTAAAAGAATCGCCTCGTCAAGTTGCTGTAAACCTACATTTTGTTTATATCGAATAAAACTATGCTTTTGGAATTTTCTGATTTTGGAAAGGATTTTGATTGAAATTAGTTGCTGACCGAAGTGCACGAACCTTTACAGAGCGATAAGCCGGATAGGCAAATCCAGCGATATTTGACAGGATTTGCGATAATGCTCCAACGATGATATAAACTATTACGGCCAGCACAGTTCCATAAACTAGCTGAAAAGGGATTTCTTGATCAGAATATAGCAAAATCCATTTTTAGAAATAACCTTTTCTCGTTTGATGTTGGTTCTCTTCTCGGCCGCAGCTAGAAAATTCTCGATTGCACTGTTATGGTCCTTGTCATACATTTGTTCGGTAACTGGTTGTAGTCGCTTTTGAAGAGTGTTACATACTTGTTGTAATTGCGTTGCCATCCCTGCATTCATTGGAAATTAGTTCAAGTCAAATCAGAAGATATTCCTCATAATTTTCTGCAAAATGTTGACTCATTTCAATTTTGTTTGTTCCTTCCAACGCAACGAGTTGGTGCACTTTGATCAAAGCAGTTTCATATATCTATACTAGCGTCTATCGTTTAACTCATTCCCCCCCCCCCCCCGCCGCCCTCTATACATCCCCTTACTATTAATAATCTTTGTAAGACTCGGTTTTTTATGATTTTTATGGTGAAAAAAATTGATTTTCTTGAGGCCTGTGAAAATAGTTCGTATTGGACATTTCTCATTGATAAGAATAAATGTTGAAATTTCTTGAATAATCGTTGATGTGATGAAATAGATTTGCGTCATACACTTCCATTGCTCAAACGAACATTGACTTTCATTTCGTTGATATATTTGACGAAAAAATTGTTTGATCAGGAGGCTCCAGCTGCTTTCGCAATATGATTCTATCCTGAAATTTGAAATAATATGACTGAAGCTTGCACGGGTTCTTGTAAAAAGATCTCAGCTTGCTAGCCGATGTCTTGAATATTCTAGTTGTAATCTGTGGAAATTGAGCACCCTTTCATAAATGGAGATATTTGTTTGTACAAAAAGTAGATTAAAGATTTTCATGTTCAAAAATAGGGAAGGATATTCGATGACGATAGAAGTCAATCACTCAATATTGTTAGATCCACCAATAACATTTGTAGTCTTAAATCCCAAGCTTTTTCATCAGATATTACTAAATTCCTAGAGATCTTTCATTGCAGGAAAGGAATTTTTCGATGAGAAAAACATAGTTTGAGAATGTAACCAGCAGATATAACTTTTAATGGAACCTTTGGCTAGTAGACTGCTGATCTAGATTATCATTTTGACTAGGGATAAACTGTCTTCAACTCTTGAGTTCAACTAGAAATTTTTTTCCGCTCTTTTACCAAAAAAATGTCGAATTTGTCACCAATTGTTAAGGCAGTGTTTTAGGCATAAATCATCGAAAAGAATGAAGGTATAAAACATAAACAAAATAAATCACTAACAATTGTCTGTAAAGGAGTATTGCGACATTGTAGCGGATAACACTATGAGGACCTCTTATCACGTCGCGACAGAGTGATCTGATCGGAAATGCTGATAGCAGAAAACATCAATCATTTCTAAATGACCTTTCAAGTTGGAGCAATTATGCAGGGCAGAACAGTCATACAAATTTTGTAAACCTAAGTTGCAATATGACCCATTCGTTTCAGATTTTCTTGGTCGAAAGCAAAAATATCATGAGAATGGGCAAAATTGGCGTTTCTTGCACGGGACAGGTCCCATGCTACTTTTCCAAAGAAACCAAAAATTGTCACGTGCTTACGTTTATTCAAATTTTGTTAAGCTAAAAAATTTGAAACGGATATTGAATTTCGTAATTGAATAATTAATTTCGTTTAGCTTCGTTAACAATTTCGTTAATAACGATAATCTTGTTTAGCAGTTCCTATATTTTTCAGGTGGGGTAAGAACTTCAAACCGCAGTAGCAGTAGCTCATTGTTTCTTTTTCGAGAAATCGAAAAAATCTGGAAGATATTGAGTCCAAGGTACAACAATGAGAAATGATACCGATGGCATCCCTTTGGAACTGCTCGAAAGACTGCTTCGTTTCACCGATTTCTTTTTGAGTCTGCGTTGCCACAACGTTCTCCATCTAAACTTTAGCTTTCACCTAGGTAGCCGGATTATCTCCATCGGAAGCGAAAGTTGAGTAAATATGCTATATCACTGATTAAATGCGGCGATTCAGAAAATCAATTAAAACACAGAAGGAAAGTGATAAATCAGCTGAATAAGCCGTCTACAAAACATTGGCGCCTACGGACATTGAAACTCTGAGGCTATGATGAATCGATCTCGATCGAAAGTTCGACATGAGGACGAATAGGCATTGAACTCAGTCAGGTGGAATCCCATACATGTAAGCGTGGCATATTGAGCCAGCTGAACAGCTATGCTTTTTTTTTCTCAAACTAACCAGCACTAACGAGGACACTCGCAGATTTTTATCGAGCTGGGATTGAGGGAATTTTGGGCATATACCGGGTACTACAATACTTACAATCGAAGATGATAGAAACCAAGGTAGTGCGTAAATGGATGATTAGGAAAAATTTATGGTATGACCACAAAAACAGGATTGATGAAGCGAGCAGTACTTGACATTCAGATGTCCAGATATAATGAGTAGGGGTTTTATCAAATTTTTTCTATGAATGGCAAAAAAATTAAGATTTTGGAGGAAGTCTGTCCAGACCGGTTTAACATGTTAATCCTTCCTTTGGTAGGCTCGAACAACTGTAGATAAGAGAAAATTCCTAATTTGATTTTTGTAAAAAATCCAAGGAGCGAATAAAACAGTAAAAATAGTCGCGAATAAGCATAATAATTACGAGCTTTTGTATCAGTAAGTAAAGTGGTAAATTATAATAAACAACCAGATAACCAAAAGCGAGCAGATTCCAAAATTAGTGCTTATTATTATTATCCCTTGGTACCGTGATAATTATTTAAACGAGCGCGAAAAGTGATAATGAGTTCAGTAGCACTTGTGTCGAATGTACATATTTACTTGAGATCGAAAAATATAAAGATCAACAAAAGCGTCAGAGCAGGGCACGGCAAGGTGGCTTAGCAAGCAAGCTGGATATCGTTTTTGGGAAAAAAGCAAAGGGGATATCGTTTTTGCGGAAGAGCATAACGTTGTCTTTCGATCTGCGGCCGGCACGCTGCCGGCATGCCGCTAGCAAATAAACAAAAGGTTTGTTTACAGCGAAGTGAAGATGAAATGACGCCAAAATAGGTGTGCAAATGGGCAATGGGGAGTTAGGACTAAGTATGAAAAATTATGAAAAAATTATGTGAACTAGAGGCGTGCTCAACTTTTTTCGGAGTTAAGTGGCTTTCAAGCCGCCTGGATAGCCACCTGAGGTGGCTTAGGAAAAAAAGTCATAAATTTTTCCTCCCTCACATAATTTTTCTACTTTCTTTACATATTTTTCATCTACATCCCAAACCCTACAAACTGGTTCCGAAACCGCCTCAAACCCCCTTCTCCCCGCTTAGTTATAGCCCCTTGAAAATTTTGAATGGCCGCGGAAAGGCTGCTCTAGGCGCGTATTGCTGCACGATGGATACATCATGCCGCCATTCCGGAAAATATGGATATAATCGCGTGTGCTCGATGATTCTTTTTCGTTTTTTTCTCTGCTGTTGCTTTTTTTCCGTTTATTTTCATGTATTTTCTCTTCGAATATCTCGTGGCGGATGTTGTAATTTCATTGAAGTCAAAAGGGACTTCATTTGTTGCAATTTCGGGATGCCACCTCGTGCGGAGCCCTGGTCTAGGGTCAAAAGGGACTTTGTAAAAATTCGCAAAAATCAAGGGGGACTTCGTTTTTTGCATTTTCAACTAGCCACCTCGTGCCGAGCCCTGCGTCAGAGTACAAATCTAAAATTTTGGATTAGCATAGAATTCAGAAACATTACAGGACTATTAACTGGACGTCTTTGCTTGGATTAACTATACCTATAACATCGTTTTGAAATTGTTTGAAAGACTGTTTCGTTTCAGCGGTTTTTTTTAAGTCTGCGTTGTCACAGTTTCCATGTGTTTTCTCTTGTTGATACAATACTTGACTCGAAAAAAGCAAACGAATCCGAAAAATCGGTTGAAAGTGTTTACAAAAATTCGGCAGCTCGCGCAACTAGGAAATTAGGAACTTATATTAGGCTGCTGCATAAGTTCTGTCCGATTTGCCTTATGTTTGAAGCAGCTATTCTAAGAGGATTTCATCTCTTATGCGGCATTGTTAGTATCATTGAAAAGTGCATTTCTTGCTCTTTCTAATGCATATCAAATTTCAATAAATTTGTTAGTTTAAGAAGATTTCAGACCTAAAATTTCCAAGTGGCCGAGGTACGTCCTCACCCTAGAAATATGTTCTTGCGAGAAAATATCCACAATGCGCCCTTCAGGTCAAGTTCTTCCATTGGTGCGGAATATGAATGTAGGAGGCTAGTATATGCAGCTGAACATTATTTTTTGTATGAATGTTTTAGAAGTAATAATTCCTGCGAGAAGTAATCGATGAGTTCAAAGTTGAAGGTGCTAGGGTAAAGCAAGAGCTAGCACGGTCCATCCACCAGTTCCTTTTCGTCGCTCACGTCAGCTGTAAAATTTTCATAATTTGCAAATAGGCAGGCACATATGTGCTGAAGCAAGGTCAAAAAGTGGCTTCTTTTTTGCTCGGTCAAAAAAAATCTCTAGGCAGCGCAGGCCCTATGGGCTCTTTCATGTTACAAAATAATCTAAGAAAATTTCCCTACCTATCCATTGTTAGAAAAGATGCCTATCAATTCTCATAAGGGAGCACTGCCATGTCAAAAAAGACAGGTTTGAACAAAAACGCTGTGAAGATTTTGAGTTCTTGCTTATCCTTAACAAGGGTTTTCGCAAGTCTCAATATGTTTCTGATAGCCAATGATAGCTGCCCAACAATAGAAACTAAGATCTTGGAAAAAGGTTGACTTCGTAGGAAGTTATGACATCATGAACTCAAAAAATTCAAATCGGACAGAACAGCCAATATAAGACTGAAAAAGTGGAAAAATGAGATGAGTCAGCGACTGTAAATAGTGAGGGATATCTCAACTGCAAAGCTATCGAGAATCGATTTCAGCTGAGAGTTCGAAATGGGGGACGGATATGCATTGAACTCAGTCAGCTGGAATCCCATACAAGTAGGCGTGGCATATTAATCCAGCTGAACAGTTATGCTTTTTTTTCCAAAATCACCAGCGCTAACGAGGCCACCTATGCGGATTTTATCGAGCTGGGATTAGGGGGACTTTTTCGAAGTTTTGTTGCCACTTGAACAGTTTATGTCAACCGTACAGAGCCAGAGAAGATAAAATTGAATTAGGATAGCGCTTAAATACCGCATGAACGGCTTTTTTTGTGGTATAGACATCAAATCAAGGCGAACAGTACTTGGCATTGAGCATTTGCTCAGATTTACCGTGTTATGAGTTTCTCAAAAATTGCTATAAATAAACCTCTGAAAAATCTGCTGTCTAGATCGGCAACATGATAATCCTTCGACGATATTGTCAAAAAAATCTTTGAATGTGATTTCTATGGATTATAAAAAGCGAGCTAAATCCCTTATGCGAACATTTGCAGTTTATTATTATTATCCTACCGTAATCAAATGTTCAAACGAGCGCGGGAAAAACTGATAATGAGGTCAGTAGCACTTGTGTTTTAATGTACATATTTACGTTAAAGCGAAAGAAATTGAGGTCGATACAGATGCCAAGAAAACGTCACATTCACTCAATTTTCTAGGTCCACAGAAGGCGAATTCAAACTTAAGCTAAAATGATAATTGATAATGATAATCTTCAAAACGCGACAACAAAAAGGTATCGACTTCAAAAAACCAGCGTATGTAGCAGAACGTATACAGAGTTAGTCATACTTATCGCGTTGTACAAAAAAAGAAGTAAATAAAAAAAACAAAAAATCCTCAGATGTTCCATCAACGCGCGAACTCATAACAGTCCAGCGTAATCCGCTTTGCTAGAACCCACCATCTTACATATATCAATGCCAAAAATCAACATTATATACAAAAATACTTTGACGCAGGGATGACGCTACAGCATCCCACTAACTTCGGAATATCTAGTCAAGTGCATCGCAGCGAACATGCTGAGTCAAGTGACATAGAAATGGGCGGTTAGTGGATATTTGAATGCTGTTCGAGTGGCGCAACTTCTTCCGATAAACGAAGAATACTGACAGTAGTTCGTGAAAGAACTAGGACGTTACTCCAGTTTGTATAAACAGTCAAGGTTTTTCTTTCAAAAGGAATAGTCTAGTCCTAGGAGAATCGAACGGAGCCTGTGAAAAAAGCACATCCTAAGTAAACGCTATGCGCATAATTTTCTTTCTTGCAAAAAAATATTTAGAGCTTCTAGCAATTTGGAACGCAACTTACTAGGTCGTAACATAAGTTTTGTTGCACTTTCTCTTCCTCTTATCAAAGACTCAGACAATCTCTTATTGGCGAAAACGAAGAAGGGACAATTGCTATTCTTGCTATTCATTACCAAAAAGAAAAAAGAAGAAAAAACGCTAGATCTAGAATTAACGGACACAAGTTACAGCAAACATAAAGGCAATTCTATGACAGCACTTCAACTTCCATTTTTTCTTTTCCTTCAAAAATTCTCTTATTCACTATTATTTCTAGATTTTTATGGATGTTTAAGAGCATCAGAGCTAATACGGAGGCAGTTCCGAGGTAAGCTCTTTGTTGAAGCGAACAGGAAATGGGGAATGTGAGGAAAAATAATTCGAAAAATCTTCAGAAAATTTGAAAATTGATTTTCTGTGGGTTACATTTATATATCAAGAGCTCACAACGCTCTAGGTTATTTGAAAATAGAGAATATCTTTTAAAAATAAATATAAAGATTATTTTCCTCAAATGTAACAAAACTTGCCACAACCCGATATTGCTCCGATTTATTTATAGAATAAAAAAATGACCCTAAAAAAACTTCAAACGAGATATCCTAGTGAAGAAAGTGAGTAAATATTTTATCGATGAATGTGACCACTAGACTACTCATACAAATTGTGCAAAAGCAAAGTGAAACGAACCTAGGATACCGCGTTGTAGCGTGACTGCTGACTAATCAGAAATACATTAAAGGGTAGATTGCAATCAGCAATAGGACGAACAGTACAGCTTGCTACGAGTGCGCGAAAGTGATGACTAGGCAGAGAATGCAGTACGCCAACCACCCCGAAAATATTTGCATTTGGCGAGGGGATTGGCGATGGCACACAGAACAAAGATAGTGTGCACATGAAAGTTAGTTAAGTAGAAGGTTTTACCAATGTATCGTGAATTTCCCATTGTTTCTGCAAAGGACTCTTATTTTCAAGTCATTTTGAAGCGTAATCACTGGTCCAGCAGGATACCACTGCACAATAGCATTTGTGCATGAATAAAGGCCTTAAAGGCAGCGTCCAGGCAGATTCGAGCTCGACGACCACGCCCACTTCCCTCGGACGGCCAACCCCTTATGAACGAAATGTCCTCAGCCTTGACGTGTTTTCACATGACCAACACAGTCGAACTTACAGCGTTTACCTGTTAATACTCGCTTTCGACAAGGATAACATCAGAAGCACCCAAAAGGTGGTTTTCTGAGAAATTCACGCTTTTTGAGTTCCATATTTGGACTCAGCGCCATGGAAAGGCCTGGATAACATAAAAATACAGAAGTCGAGAATCTGCCTGGACGCTGCCTTTAAGCCGCAAGATCCAGAAATGTGCTCCATTACAGGGCGCAATTGCTGACGAATCCCAGAGGTCACTACACTAAGCTTCAAATCTGACCAACTGTTTGATGGTATACCCTAACCTTTGATTCAACTCGCTTGACGGCTGGGCTTTGTGACCTAATTAAGGCCGCTGTGCGCGAGCAGTCTGCGTCTCCGTCGCGCACGTGCTCTCTGATCATTATCTAGCCTTAACTAGGCCACGAAGCCCCGCCTTCAAGCCGGTTGAATGGAAAGGTAACATTTATAACCTGACCAGCAGATTATCCGCCAGACCGTGAAGGTTGGTGAAGTTTGCAGTTATCGCGCCGCACAGGCCCAATTTGCCAGTTTAGACTGCAAGGCTTGAGTTTCTCCGTTTTCGCATTTTACGCTTTTTTCTTTGTTTTCAGGTGGCGAATACGTTATCGCTAAAAGCTGCCGCTTTCCAGCCTAACTTCGGTGCTGACAGCGATAGTGGCTTACCGCTTAGCGAAATTAGGCGTTTGCGGCGCAACGGACGCAAACTTCACCGATCTTCGCGACACGCAGAGAACGCTGCTACGCAGTTCAATCGCAACGCATGTTTGAACTGCCGTTGAATCTTCACGTATTAGAATTGATTCAAAGGTTTGTATTCATATTCTCTTTTTTCTCTCTTGTTCACAAGGTTATAGGGCTGCGCTACATTAGACCACTAGTGCACACCGTGAGATTTATACTTTTGATCATAAGACAATTTTACTCTGGGAAACTTTCCAGACAAATCAAAGTGTGAGCATCAAACTTTACAATTAACTACAATGAACCAAAAATGTTGGTAAGCTAGTCAGAAGTCCTCAACAATCACCCTCTATATAGGTGAAAAAATTCAAGAGCTTTATTCATGGAGCCACGTTCCTTATATATAAAAGAGCATTGTTAATCAACAAGTATAGATAGCGAAATTCCCCAAAGTAAAGGCTGATAGTATAAGACTCCTTTGAGTGCTCCAAAGCCAGTAACAACCGGGCATTGCGTGCGCGCTGCGCCCGTACGTGACCTGCCCGGTACACACACTATGAACAGAAGGCAACACGCGATTCTATAAACAAAAAACTTCGACTTTCTTTGGTTGCAAAGGCCTGGTTCTGGAGTAGCGGTCGCAAAATAAAGCTGTATTTATTGGTGACTTTAAAATCTTCACTGGTTTATCTTCTTGATTGCGAGAACATTCAACGTCTATATCTCCGCTCAACTGGAAAAGTTTTAAGTTGGAGTTTATGCCACAAAAAAAGTTTTTACATTAGGGAAATGCTAAACTTCCTGGTAAAAGCTATCATTGTACAGGGTGAAAGAAAACAGATTTCTAATTTTGCTGGATTGGGGATGAGATCTGCAGGTGGAAATGGAATACGAGAAAACGGGAAATGTTACAACAGAGAGATGTACTCTTAGTGCAACAAATCATAAAAGTATGGAAGGCGTGACAAGCTGGGTAAACGGCAAGTTACTGCGATGTGCAGATGCAGTCAGTATTCGAAAAAGTTCAAGTCAAACAGTAACTGTGAGACTCAACGCAAAGATCGATTCGAATGTAAGAGAGGGGGTCGAGCGAGACATTCTCAAAACACTCTTTGAGCGTTTGCGAATGAATTTGTAACAATCGATGTCCATTACATGTCCTATTTTGAGAAAAACAACATCATCTTTTTCTTCAACTAGATTTATTCTTCAAATATAAATATTCATCACATATGTTCCTCCATCGAAACTCTCAATGAAAACAAAGGAAAACGGAAAGAAAAAAGACAAGGATCATGGGCGAAATGGAAAATACACCGCCACATCATACAAATTATCACGAACCATAGACGAAAGCCATACATGCACAATGATAAGCGAAGTACAAACGAAGAAATAAATCAATAAAGAATTATTATACTCTGAAAAACACTCTATTATACCAAAGTACATGTACTCACAAAGAAAAAACCTCCAGGATGATGAACAAAGAATGAGGAAAGAGAATGTAGAATGAAGGAAAATTTTCAACAGAGCCAAAGCCAAGATAACAATCACCACTGCGGAAGGACATGTGAAAGGAACTTTTTTGGGTTTTTTTTGGAAATGAAATGAGAAGAAAGTCGGACAACAAGTGATTTCGTTCAAAAAGCTGACCCACAGGTGGAACGGATGGATTGTGCCTAAGAAATCACCGGACGCTATCATTGAAGAGCAGAAATCAAGAAAGATAAGAGAAATTGTACAAACTTGAGAGTGACGTGGGTAATGGCTGAGGATATAAAGGTGAAGTTGATCTTTAATTACCTCGAGTAGTCAACATTCTACGGTATATGACATGGTATGAGCAGTTTTGGCATAGGAATTATATAATTTACTATAGGGTTCTCTAAACGATCAATGCGAGACATTCGAAATCTAGCGAACACCTCATGACAGTCGAAAGCAGGGAATCCTCAAAGCAATTTTTTGGCAACACTTGAGTGAACATATGAGAAGTAACCGGTATTTTTGGGTTAAGGTATGGGAGTGATGATGATATTCACATACCATTTGCAGTCTTCAATGCAGAAAGTCCATGTAATACATTGTAGATAAATAATAAAAAAAGCAATTGAATGAAGTACCGAAAATTCTTGCATGAATTGCAGATCACAGGTAAAAAGTTGCATAACAGTTCGTACTCGACATAACTGATAATGGACTTATCTGAGTATGGGATGCCACAAAAAATGTTCTCCTACATTATTACAGTTATGGTACGCAAACATGATGAGGTAAACTACAAGTACTTACATTAATGCTGAGAGCAACGATCACATCACCGAGAGCATGAATCAGGCGACTAGCTGCTTATGCTGTTTGTTCGGGATGTAATGACCGCTGTGGACACCTTTCAGACGCATCAGCTCCTGACATGCAGAGCGAAACGCGCTGTGAATGTGGGTAAGCGAACGTGACGGAGCGACTGAGAGGCTTCGCTCCAACATCTGAAAAATCAGATCACTAGGCGTCGACAGTTCGTCTACAGAAAACCTCAGGTTACGGTATATGAGCTGAAAAAGAATAACACTTAGTTACAAAAACACTGAAAAGCAAGTGATTCAAAAATGTCCCCCGGAAGCCGAAGCAATACTTAAAGTTTCGGTAAAGGATCACATTTTTGCGTGTGACCGTGTCAAAAAGTACAGGAGTCATAGATTATAATTAATTTTGACAGTAATTTCAACTAAGGGGCTTTTTCGTTCCCACCAGATCTATGTATAATCACTATCTCAAAGGAAAAAACCGCAAAAATCAAATCAAAAAACAACATCAAATCGATATAATCATTTTGGTAAGATGTCGAAATGAATAATGACGAATACTAATCGATGGAAAAAAACATACCGTTGACAATTGCGACGAGATCTGAACTCCACGTGGAAATGAACGATCGAATTGTATGACAGCGGGATCTAACGGATATGAAGCAGGGACCAACACACGCAGCGGAGGGCACAGTAACTAAAGGAAACAGACGAGTGGATATAAGATTCGTTAGAATTGCGCTAGAGGAGCCATAATGGCCTAAGACTTACCAGATCTGAATCAAAGCATATAACAGCATCAGGGCTGTTGCTAGATGCCGGTAGACAGTCTGTGTCAACACGCCACGGCAATCCATTCAGTTCTTTGGAAGCAGCAACCGACATTCGCCAGGGTTGACGTGTATCGAAGAGACATTCGATCTTCAATGGAGAGAATTTCGATGAGATATTTACAAAGGGTCTGGAGGAAAGGGGAGTAAGCGCAACTCGACTAACTTGACTTTACCCAACGAAAAAAAAAACATTTTTGTAACTACCAAAATCGGGACTGTGATGAAAACTTATATTTCTCCAATCTTTTAAGTTGCTACATTTTCAAATCAATGCTCACAGATTCTCAGATCTGCCATTCCTTCCCATCTTGCAGATCCTCACTGGTATTCGCAAAAGGCAGAGGCAAATAGCAAGAAATAAATAGCAATAAATTAGATCTGAGGGTTCCATCGCAAACATGTTACTTCGAAAAAAAATTGGAAAGAGTTGAACATTAGTGGAACACACCATTAAATGAATTGCTAACTTCAAAAAAAAGAGTAAAGAACCAACCTGTATTCGCATATTCTCATCCTCGGAAGAATCGACTCCTTGATCAGAGGCATTGGAATTATCTGAGACAAAGAGAATAATTGACGCTCCAGATGAGTTGAAATCGCGTTTACCAAGTTTCTCCACTTTCGCTTCGATTCCAGAGTCGTTGAAATCCGATGGTGCCGCACGTTTCAATGGATTTGATATCGTGGACGATTTCACTGCACCGGTACCCTCGGATTCATCATCGGAGTTGCCCAAGTTCGCCAAATGTTCAGGAACTCTGGAAAAACAGACTTTATTCTGCGAATAGAGTTTGCTAGACTAGCACACACTTGATCATCATATGGCGAACAGATCGCCATGGATCTAGAGCTGCTTGTGGGGGCTGTTGTGGTCCAGGACGGAAATCATCAGTATTTACAAAAATCGAAGATTGTCCATCGGCTTCGATCTGATGCATGGTCTCAATCACCGGGTACGTTAGACTCGAGCGCTCAACTATCGTGCGGACGTTTCCAACAATTTTCTCCAACAACGACTGAGATACTCTCCTGAAAGAATGATATCCTTCACCAAATGCAAGGAAAGTGACTTTTAGCACGCTCACCGTTTTCCATCTAAAATTTCCATTAGCCGATCGAATCCAGTAGGTTTAGGGCTATTGTCTAAGTCACAGCGATCTCCTATACGCTTCAACTTTTCATAATATTGCTCTTTCAAACTCGCAACCTATAACAAGTTTCCTTTCGAAGCATGAAGAATCAATAACAAGTAGAACAATATCATTTTCCCAAAAAACAAGAGTAAAGGAACGAAATCACTTCCAGGAATGAAGGTATGCACAGAAAGAAAAGCGCGAATAAATGACAGCCCGAAGAAAATTATATGGAAGATAAAATATGCACTGCTCCAATATACGTACCAGATCATTATATTCTTTGGTGTTCTCTTCCTGACTTGGAACAGATGAAGGCTGTTGACTTCCGGGTCCAACACTGCCAGGTTGTACTGAGGAGGGATTTTCTAAACTGAGAAATAATCTCAGAAAACAGTAAACATGGTGAAGAACTCACGAGGTGTAGATGGCTGGATACAATTCGCTGGAGAATTTACCATGCCAGCGGGCGCAGAGCCAATGCCTGCCATATGAGGTGATCCGACAGCCATTTGATGGCTTGCGAAATTCGAATGCACCTTCAAAAAAACCTTCAATTCCAGGTCATTCAAGAACTGTATCGTACTTGAGGACTGCCAGAAGCCGCTGACGTTTGTGGGCCCATTCCAGCTCCACCCATCATTTGCGGCGGTACCGAGGTAGGACCACCAGCCATATGATTTTGCATCCTCCTATTCAGCAGTGGTAAGATGCAAGCCAGAAGCATCGAGTCAAATGCTTACATTTGTTGCTGAGGCATAGGAACAGATGCAGTTCCAGCAGGTACACTAGAGACACCAGGTATCGGACCAGCAGTACTTGACATCACAGTTCCAGCCTGTGGTTGCGTATACATGCCAGAGACTCCCGGCCTCTGATTGCCCGGACCAACCATAACGGCACCTTGTCCTGAAAACTTCCAACATGACCCAAAAATGTCGAATAGTGGCTATTTACAGAGAAAAAAGGCTCCATACACGGTGTTTAAAAAGTTTTTCTGTGAAACAAACCATAAATTCGTTGTCAAGCAGTCGGCACATGAAAAGCAATGCTATTCTTGATTTCCTTTTGCATTTACATTTGAAATCTCGGATAATGCTCTCTTCGATGAAAATGATGATTTTGACAAAAATAACAGACACGAGCAAAATCAAAGGAAAAACTGCAGCACTCGCGTTCTTATGTTCAACATAACACAAAGCAGTTTTATGGTTTGAAAAGTTCAGAGTAAGAAAAAGCGTGCCAATAGATCTCAAAAAAAAAATCATGAAAAGTCTAGATTTGCGGCCACCGCAGCGGAGATGCAAACAATAAAAGAAGCGTGTTATTTTGAGCGAAAAGGACAGGATAATTTGTGCAAGTTCGCAAATAGCAGTAAATTGATGTGAGCAAAAGAAATGATAACTAGTGATAGTTTGTACCGCAAATCGGATAACTCAAAAATAGGATACAGCAAACGTACCCATAATTGGCTGATGCATCATACCACCCTGCCCATTTGAGACCATTTTTTGTTGTTGTTGCATATTGTTGAACTGCAAACGATTAAAATCTTTTAAGTTCAAGCCGATAAATTATTAGTAAGTACCTTTCGCACATACTGGCCAAAAATATGCTTCTTTCGTTCTTGACTCTGTTCCATATGAATTTCCTGCTGCCACTGATGAGGAAAGCGAGACATACTAAAACAAAAAGATTTTTCAAAAAAAAATTGCTTCCGAAGTTTAAAAACTCACTAATACTGAAATTGCTGTTGTTGCACTATATGAGCCTGCTGCATTTGCGACGGATGACTATACATGGGTTGTCCAGGAACTGAAAATGCTTCCTCTTCACCATGGAGATGAAATGCACTGACACACTGACTAACCTTGAGAATTCATCATTCCTGGGGGAGGTGGATACATCTGACGCATTCCAGGAGCTGCTTGTCCAGGCTGACCCATCACCTAACACGAATGTTGAAGAAACTTGCGACAAAAGTATGCAAGAGTGGAGAAAGGAGTTTCAAGATATGAAAACGCTAAGGTGAGTGCCAGACTTGTCCGGTTCAACCGGTTCATCCGATTCAGTCATTCGCTATTGGTCACATAACTGAATTGACCGATAGCGAATGGTCTGAACCTGTTACAACGGATGTGTGGCTCCGCCAAATATTCAGAGCGAGATAAAGGTCAAAATAGTGAGGTTGTGGGCGTTGTAACCATATTTGAAAGAAGCAAATGGTACCATTGTACTTATGGAGTACTTTGCGCACTGACAAAATGTGTACTTGTCCTTGCTTACATCGGAAATGCATGTGCAAATATATCAATCTTCAAAAATTTCACAAAGTAACTTAGAATCTGAGAACATTCCACTAGTAAAATAATATTTGATCGAAGGAATAAAAAAGGTAGAAATGAAATCAAAGGCGTTTTTGGCAAACAAACTATGGAAATGACCAAACGACGTTAAGGAAAAAAACGAAAACGAGAGAATGAAAAAAAGAGGGCTCACCATGCGCTGTTGCTGCATCATTTGCTGTTGCGCCTGCATTGGTGGCATGGCACCGGATGGCTGCTGGACATACTGACCCGTGTAGTTCATCGTATTTATTCAATATCAGTACCCGTATTTGAATAGATGAATAAGTCGCGCCACTCCAAAAATTGATTTTCTCCCGACGAATAGATCCGCGTGATAGAGTGTTACGCGATCCAAGAATAGAAGGGAATAACAGAAACGAATACCCCAAGAAAGCTGATTAGGCTAAACCCCTAAAAGGATTAACAGTTAAGTACCGCAGTCGCAAAGTGTTTCAATATGAAGGACATAAACAAATCAGATAGATGATGGGACCAAACCCACAACATCAACAGCTTGAGAAGCAAACAAGCAAGCTTCATTTCAACAACTAACAACAACAGACAACATTTCAAAATATCAAGTAAGTAACAAAAGATAAAACTAACATCATTGAAGCAAATTCACCGTCAAGAGTATGAACTATCTAACAATCCTGCTTTGTTCCGAGATCACAGCTTGTACTTGGACCCGCCGCTGGAAACTTCTTGAGATTTTACTTTCATCTTTTTCTTCTTCGTGGTCTTTTCTTTGATTTCCTAAAACAATAAAACTAACTATCGTCAGTGATTTGAAATGAAAGTGTCAAAAAGCAATCAGGATACGACGGAAAGTGGATAAGCCAAAAAGAACACGCATACTGAAAGTACGCATAACCAGCGGAAACGTCAAATTATTATGAAAACCCATAAAGGGCTAAATCGTACGGGAAAAAATGCCAGAAAACTTTGCACTACTCACATCTCTCACAGTTTCTTGGAGTTTAGTGAAGAAAGTGGTACTCTTCAATTTTTCTCCTGATTGCGTTTCCGTAGAATCCGCATCCTTTCTCTTCTTCTTCCTCTTCAAACCTTCCATGGCCTTTTCCTCACCGAACAATTCCACCATAGCCCTGGATGATGATGTTTGTACAAAAAGCAAAGACTTATTATCGATCTACTAGCCAATTTACCTCTGCCTATTCTTTTTCTTTCGTCGTTGTCGGAGCTTATCAGTCCGATCTCGTTCTTCGTCAGCTTTGATGGCACCTTTCTGGTGCTTTTTCACTTCTTCAGGTGCCAGCAGCTGCGCATCTGTTGATGCATTCATGCCAACTTCTTCCACTTGTAATGCAGGCATGTTAGAAACCACACGAACTTCTGGACGAACCTTCAAACACCAGGTTTACAAAAATCCATAAAACGATATTTTGTAACCTCAGGCGGAGTGTAGTCGAAATTAGAAAGTGCATCTATTAGTCGGAATAGTTCACGCATACGCTTTTCGATAGCTGCATGCTCTTCATTCACTCCATTGCTATCAGCATGTTCCTGGAAAAACATTCACATTTTTTATTTGCAACGCGATAGCAAATAAAAAAGGAAAGCATACCCCAGCAACTTTTTGGTACTCCTTTTCGTACACCTCCGCCAAGGAAGTCTTCACCATTTCTCTTTCTTCTATGGCCTGGTTTCGATACGATTCAGTGCGTTCCTCAATGCGCTTTTTGCGCACAACATCGTCAAAGGCCTGCAGTAATGGGCAAATTACTGACAAATGACATAACGAGTGCCCCTACAATTTTATGGAGGCAAAGTAATCAACAAGTTGCAAGCTATAAGTAGAGCACAAAGAGTAAAGAAGTAAGCAGTGACACGAATAACAGTTTTCAAACTAAAAGTAAAACTTAGAAACGGATGCTGACACAAACAAATTACCAGCAACAGAACAATGTAAGAAAGAGCCGATAAAAAAAATTTGAATTCGAATTAGCCACTCTTACCTTGTCTTTTATTCGTTGTTTGATCAATTCCTCCAGCTTCTCCGTGAAAACTTCCGTAATTTCGGGAGCTGGAAATAATAAACAGATGAACTTCAAAAACAGTTTCAAGAATGCAAAGTCACCCTTTTTCATTCCAAGATCGAATTCAAGATGCGTTTCAAGCAGCTCGTTCTCTTCTCTCTGCTGCGCTGTCACTTCGCCACTCATCTCCCATGATTTCGGTGCCAGATTCTCTTCTTCCAATTTTTTGATCGTTTCCTTCAGCTAAAACGAAAAATATTTACTTAAATTCACTTAACGCAATATTTATGAACTTACACGTTTCAGACTCTTCTTAAGATTAGATGTCTCCTGTTTTGGTTCTTCAGTATCTCCCAACAATACTTTCGTATTATCAATGTGTTCATTTTCCTTTTCAGCATTATTTTCTTCTTCCTCCTTAGGTTCCTGCCCTTCCTCCATAGCGAATCGGACAGATTTCTTCTTCTCTCTAAGAAATACTGATAAATTTTGATGAAAAAAAAAAAGAAAGACAACGCACTTTTTATCCAATTCTTTCGATCGAACGCGTTTCTTTCCCTTCTTTTTCTCCGACTTAGCAGTTTCTCCCACACCATCGGCTTTACCAAAGAACTCCTCATAATGATAATCCGCTGCAACTGTGGACGAGTCCTTAACAATCATAGGCAAGATCTACTATATTCAGAATGCACTGCTGTTCAAGACTTTTCTATTTGACATAAGGGAGAAAACTGGACAAAACAACAATACTTGCAAAAACACTATGCTACAAAAAAGAAGGAAGCAAAACAGATGATAGCAGATCTGTTGAATTGTGAATAAAACTAAGATTCCAAAATAAACCCACATCAACACTATCTAAAATGTTGGATGCTTGTCCCTCAGCGCGATCCTGTTCATCGAGAAAAGCATTCATTTCGGCAAGGCTAAAATGAAGCACATTATTTTCATCTGCATCAAATGATCAGCTTTCTGGCAACTCACCTGAAAAATTTGTCGTCAACTACCGAATGCGGGTACTTTTTCCGAGTATCGGCAGGCTCTTTCGAGTTCTCATCTTGATTTTCGTCATCACGCATTTCGGCTAGTTCACGTTCCAGATCTTTCAAATCTTCATCTCTAGAAAAACGAAATCAAAGCGATGTTCTCAAGCGCAAATAACCACGGACTTCAAGTTCAACAGATCAACGTCCTCCTCTTCGTCTTCTTCATGTTCGTCCTCCAAATTTTCTTCCTCATCATCCAGATCATCCTCAGAAGTTAACTGCTCTTTATTCAGCTCCAAGCCAAGCTCCAGTAGTGCCTAAGCAGAGCAGCTGCTGTGATGAATCAGAGATGAAAAGTGCCTTTGAAAGAACAGGAAAGAACTAAAATAAAAAGAAGACTTTTTTAACTGCATTGAATGAATCAATCGAAATTTGAAGAAAAAGCAAGAATAAAATACGAAAGAAGGTGGTAAACGAGTACAAGCATAAATGAGTCGATGTCCTCAACTTACAGATCTTTTTCTGAACTCCTTGCTTATCTGCTTGCAACGGTATGAGATGAACTGCCACATCGTCTCCTGGTCACAGTTTTTCATGAGTTCGGGAGGTAAGTCATTATTTCGCGTCTCTATCGAGCTCGCATACTCGAAAAGAACCGGAATAGCTTTTCGAAAAGCTTTGGTATAAAACTTCGGCCTAAATCATAATTATTCCCAAAAGGAAGTCACCTCGAAGCTATTACCTTTTGAAGCACTGCTTGAACGATTTGAGGTCAACATATTTGTCAACATCTTGGCGGGTAGCAGGCTCTTCCTCGTCTTCGTCAGCTTCTGTTAGCAACTGCTAAAAGCAAGAGAATGCAAAATAAAAATTCAAACATCAGAATGAAATGGTTGACACAGGATATCAATTCTAACGAAATCAAATATCGAGACTGTTTGACGTCATGGAAAGTACACCTACGCGCAAAAGGGCATCAACAATTGTACGGGCAGAGAACGACGAATTCTATGCACGGGGGCGAATCAAAATTGAATGTGATAATGAAGAATGTGATTATTTGAATATACGATTGCGATCGAATTTCAACTAGTCAAATAGCCAATAGAGGAAGGAAAAGATGATTAATTTACTAACGATAGCGAGGAAAAGAAAAATTATTAGCACTACGTGATCGGGCGATGAGTAACATAAAGTGCTGCTGTAAACGACAGGTTCCTAATACAGATATACTTTGAATCTTGATCTAATATAAATAAAAGTTGGCAAATTAAGAAGGCTGCTAAGAACATTTGAGCAAAGACGACAGAAAGGAATGCAATATTAAAAACGCGAAAAATTGACTCTACACCTCACACTTCCTTCTGCGATACATGCATAAAAAAAACTTTTATCGAATATCTTTCATAATCTGACAAAATCGACTACCAAATAGATTTCTAGAAAAGATCTCAGGGCCTATTAAAACTATATCACTATTTCAGAGGGTTATAACTGACTTTACCCCATTTATATCAAAAATTCCGATTCTTCAAGCAAGTGCCTCCGGACAAAGCAAATCACGCTCAACTACGGATTACGCGGTGGAATTTATGATAAAATTAACATAAAGGTAGTATAAGCCTCTGAAATAGTGATACAGCTTTTTATATACCCTAAGGTTTTTTCTGGGAGCATATTTGGGTAATTAATTCACAACAAAGCAGCGCTACGAAATGAAATCCCCATCAAGCGATGGAATCGACAGTGATTTCACGCACGCTCACAGGCCCCAGGTGCGTCGTTAACGGGAGCGATGCCGGTGATCGCAGCGCTCGCTCGCACCCTCCCCCCCCCCCTCAGTAGCATCGTGGAAACGTCGCTGAGCGATCGTCGACCAATCGATCGCGCGTCAATCGCATAGCGATTAAGCTAGCACAAACACATACACGAACGTTTCCAAAGCTAACACTGGCTCTCAATTAGCGAACGAAGGAATGAGATCAAAAATCAGAAAGGAGAAAACGAGAAACTGAGGTGGCTGAATGCAGACAGAAGAACGAGCACAACTGTTTAGTACAGATGCACTACGGCTGATCGCCTCGATCTCAATTCCAATGTCTAAAAATATCAAGGAGAAAATGTCATCAGTGTCGAAAATTTTAACATGGTGTTTGCTGTCCTATGATGAGCGCGTGTTGATTTACAGATTGCAAAAAAGCCTAATCGCATCATGTCTGGAAGAGTGCTTCGGTCGATGCGAAGAAAATTATGACCAACATGCACGACTCTTTTAGAAGAAGAAGAAAAAAAAGAATAGCAAAGAACCGAATACCCATACTCTCCAATTTACGAGTTCATGAGATGAATGATGAATGCAATAATTTGTGAATACATGAGGTAAATTCCAGCCTTATCCGCAAAAGGTTCTACAATAATAGTATCACAATAATAAAGGTTCCAATACCATTCACAGACCCGAATTTCGCAGTAAGTCCCTCTTGGAGGTAAAAAAAAGAATTAATTTGCAAAAAGCGGAAAAAGCACAAGAATAATTGAAATCCTGTACTAAACGAAACTATCAATAAGTACATAACCGAAGTAGAACATTCAACACCTCCTCGACTCTCTATGGTTAAACCACTGTCAGGCAACGGAACAAATATGTTATCAACCAAACATTACCTGGCGTTTCGCGAGACACAAGTTTGATTAAGAATCGGAGAAGTATAAAAAAACCCAGGTAAACAACGCATGACCTGGCTGATTCATTCATGAAGTTCAAGAAATTATTTAAACAGCGCGAAGCACACAGTAAAGAGCTCATAATTTCGGCTAAAAACACTCTGATGGCATGGAGTACGCGTACACCGAACGATCAAATGTACACACTTCTCCCTTCAACCTTTCCTTCAGCGCACACAGCTTTCAATAACCGAAAAACGCTATCGCAGGCAATTTCCCAATTCTCACGCAATACTGACACACATGCCACATCGATCACTAGCTACCACGCAGTAGGGCAAACGGGTAACCGGAAAATGAAATATATTATCAAGGCGGCTATTATCAATTACAGCTAATTATCAATTACAGCTAATACCGAAAAAAATGTAATGCAGTAAACCCAGGGATAAACTAACAGAAAATGCGGTATACGATCTGATCGAATGTACACAGACTGAAAAAATTCTTTTGAACACAAAGCATATCCTAGTTCATTACTTCTTTGAAATATAAAAAAAGGATGTGAAAAACTGGAAAAAAGGGAGGCAAAGTAATTTCGATTGCTGTTACTCACAGAAACAAAGGGGCGAGAATGTTTGAATTGCGATTGTACAATAAACCTAATAGAAAAAAAGGAATATCGCATCCTATCACAAAGGTGAAAGCGTGGAAAAAGAGAAATATGTAATAAAACTCTTGCAAATGTGTTACGTGGTGAAAAAGTCTATGTAACAATGGAATAAATAACAACAGATATGTGAAAAATTGGTCAACGTACCACTATCAAAGCGATCAACAAAAAGCGCAGAACAAAACCGAGAACCTAGAAATAACCAGGGAAGACAATGTCTTACTAGTAAAAGAAAAATTTGCACGAAAAATGGAAAAAGATTGCAAAGTTTTCATATGAAAATGCAAGAACGATTTTTGCTTGCCTTTGTTATGCAGACCACAAAAGCCACAGAAGTACAAAACTCGATGGACTCTTCTCCTTGGAAACGAGGTCAGGAATTCATAAGTTATGCATGTAATGGGCGTGCATACAACGGTGGCTGCATAGCGACACGGCTTCTAGAGACGGGGGCAACTGGTTTCGAGCCGCGCTTGGCGCCTCCTTCGTTCGCGACGCGAACTGCTCTCACGGCTCTTATCAAGCAGTCATTCATCGACTAATTTCTTAATCTAACCCAATGAGGTGACGATACCTCAGAATACAATAAACAAGATAACTTGTTCCAAAAATGGAATTCGGCTCAAGCAACAGACACGCTGAAGCCCAAAGGACTGATAACTACTGCATATGTATACCTTCTACTGAATACTACCTTTGTACCGCAAACAATTCTCGCAGGAAATCACAAAAGCGTAAATAATCTTCTTCTACAAAGCTACTGATTAAAGCTGCAAAAACAATCTATCCTGTGCATAACAGCACATGACACTGAAACGATATCGTATCCATTGAGAGCTTTCAAATTAAGAGGTGTGTTTACATTAACGTCAAAGGATTTGAAAAATGCCATCATCATAGAGTAAACATTACAAGAGAATAGCAAGAAAACTAAAGAAGCATAGGAATGCGTTGGTGGACCAAAGGTGAAGGCGCCAATGACTCATCGACACATATAAACAAAGATAAACTTACGATGAGGATAACTTTCTCAAAAAAAAAGAAGCCGGCGCAAACAAAGATAATAACAATCAATTGTAGTTGTAAGAATAATTCTCCAGAAAACGCACTACTTTTGAGTAAAACACTAGAAACAAAATAGAGCCTGAACTTACTATCTCGATTCCGTTATTGTCGGAAACGTTGTTTGAACAAATGAACTTATTCATATTTCAACTCAGAAAGCAAAATACTGCTGTTCAAAATACCATAACGTAAAAATCAGTGACATCTTTCGTTGACTGTAGTATACAATAATTTACTCACAAACAGGAAGTAGTATAAAGTGCATGAAAATTATGAAAGTAGAACACAAATGCCTCACAAAAATACTTCGATGGTTGTATGCTAATCCACCAACAGGGAAGTTTTGAAACTGCATCGAATATAAAATTAAAGCGGAACTCAAATGTCTCACAAAAAGTAGTCTCTGTCAGCTCGCATTTCCGCTCTACATGAATATGAAATTACTATTTAGAATGACTATGGAGTTGAATTCGAAATCATATTCTCAAATGTCAATTCACAAAGCAAATGATTTAGCAAAGCAAAGCATTCGCTGATGCATGTAAGCAAACATGACATGGAAACGCTCTCTGCCTGGCACAATCGCATCTTTAGCGTTCGTAATCTAGCCACGCAGACACGCTTTCAGTCAATATGCGGTAAAAGGGACTATACCTTGATTCTATAACAAAACACTGCGAATAATACCGAAAGTGGAGTAATAGGGAGCAATCGAAACCAATTCACGCTTTCACGCGTGCGCCTCTAATCGCAACTGCGGTATGCGGGTCAAGATACAAAAACTGCAAAAACATTGCCAAGAAAATTGCAGCTATCTCCACCATGATTTCACTTAATTTATTAGATGCATGATATTTGATGGCACACATTCACATATACGCAGATGCAATCTTCCTCGAAAATTAGCACTTTCATACACTGCAGCGCGTGCATAATTGCCAGCAATTGCACTAAAAGATTAGCAATCATCAACCGCAGTTCAACTCGTACAAAAAACATCTGTGGGGTGCACGCACGTAGCCTGCCAGCGCGGTATTCTTCTTTGATATGCGCCGGCAGGAAGCGACGATGCCACACAATCGATTACGCACCTAGATTGCCTTCCGGAAGAAAACCCAGAGAAGCACATCATGGAACGGAATAATGCAAGACACGCGGTTTAGCTCGAAGAACGACTACTGCGCCGCTTATAACAGCAAAATGAAGCTACTTTGAGCCAAGCCAGCTCCATTTTCGCGAAAAATTAGGTGGTGCAAAATTACCGCACGTTCCTTATGGGTAACAGCGGTAGAGTAGACATAGAAACATATTGTTAGCTGGAGCAAAGTAAGCTCTACAGAATGTGTACAATCGTAAAAGGTTCGCTAGAAGTAAGTTTGGAAAAAATACGAAAGTGCAAGGCTCAAAAATCAATATGCGTCTAGAAATTCCTCCGAACCTCCAACTATCATACATGTGCTATACACATCGAACATTCATAGGGTACACGTGATTAGAAAATGAATTGAAAATAGGCCAAAAAAACGAAAATTCCGATTTTTGGGTTTTGCATGTCAAATTTGATATTCTCAACAAATACCGCCTGGAGAAGGCTGGAAACTCATTGTTATATACTCCTTCGCAGGTCAATAGTATAGAGTAACTCATGTCGGAACAGTCCAGCATTTACTTTTGCTAGAGCATGCCATCTTTCGCTTCTCAATTTTACCCATAGAAACAGCGTGTACACATGAATAGTTAATGCAACAAGTAATTTACGTGAGCAAGTTGAAAGTCTGTAGATTTTTTTTGGAAAGAAATCCGATTTTCAGGCAGTAATTTTTGGATCCTTCCAATTTCCCGTGTGTCGAACTTCTTGTGATTATTTGAACACTTCTGCTTAGAGCTTGCTTTGCTCTATCAAGTGATGTCCTTCTTACATTTTTAACTTCCCTGCAGCAGCAAGATAAGGAGCATGCATAAATTTTGCACCAACCTAATATACCGAATAAGAGAAGAGCCAATCAAAAGAGAACGAAATACACCGATATGAACAGCGAGGTGTTGCCGTAACATGACCATAATGCTTTGCGCAAAGTTGTGAACGTGTGAGGCGTTATACCAACACACCTTCAATTGCAAAACCGGTCATTCGAGAGTTTGGAGAACTAGTTCACTAGACAGTTAACCTTAGCGGGACATTTATGTACAACGTCGAGTAATTGTATATGTAGGGATTGTCAAACTCATGAACATCTAAATCATCTATATATATATAAAACTCAAAAATTGTCAGTTTGGAGGGTATGTGCGTTATAGAAACGCGCGCCACTCAACCGATTCAGCTGAAACTTTGCACACATATGTTTTCGACACTTGCGCAGATGATAGGCTACTTTTTGCGGCGATTCGTTGCGTCCTTCTATCGATTTATTGATTTGTTTACGTTTTTCTAAGGAATTGAAGGCTTATCATGTTCAATCAAGCATTTTCCATACTCATGTGAAGGAGGGCGGTGAAGCTCATTTTCACCTCAGGATCACGAGGATGCGGTTTCCAAGTGGATGTCCCAGGGTAAGTCATCCATACCATATAGGGCGGGGGGGGGGGGGGGGCTCGCAGTGCGGTGAACCATGGCCCGGGCTGGACCGGGAAAGCCAACTAGTGACTTATAATAAGCGGCTTAATCTAAAGTTGTGTGGAGTTTGTCCGTTACGAAATTACAGTGAGGAATGATTTACGATACTAAACATCATGTGAGGTTAAGATAGCGAGTATGGTTCATTTTTAACTGCGGGTCACGTTGCAATAAACCGAACAATGTTTGAGAGATAAGCTCTCAGAAAGTGAGTTTACCACGGTTCACGATGCCAGTGCGAACCTCTGCGAAGAAGAGGTGAAGCACTGGTCTAATACTAAGGCAGAAAACTTGGAGACAAGAGATATAGAATATCAAATAATCAAAATAATCAAAGAAACAAATGGTAATTGCAGAAAACGTTAGATGCCAGCAAATTCACCGTATTATCAAGCAAATTCTGAAACTCAAGTTCCTTCCTCTCCTTTGACATGACACAAAAGATATGCGTGAGGATGAGTCACTATTGCGTATACAGCCTTTTCCGCCGACCCTTCTCTGTGGTCACTGAGCGCATTAATTTGCACTATGGCGTCATCTGCTTTCTACTATGAAAAACTAGTTCCAGGCAACAGGACGTACTAACGTCACCACATGATTATGGACGCTGACGACCGCAAACAATGGAGTTAAGCGTGAACGGGTGTGCCACTCAACGTTTTCTCTCAAAGCATTAACTTCACTTAGTACAGCAGGTATGCTGGGAGAAAACATTAATGAATATTCCATTTCACGACCTCACTTAAGGATTGGCGACCAGGGCACAGCGAAAAATGATGAATTAAGGTTCTCGAGATTGAAAGGAGGAATGGAATAATGGATTAATCAACATATACTATGTGTTCTCACAGAGATTACTGTTTATTCTATTCATGCGCAATGCATGATTTGAGGATCACCCCTGTAAAGATAAGCAAATCGTGATTTGATTGAGACGAGGTGATTTTTGTGACGTACCCAGCAAGCAACTTTTTGTACGATAGCAGAAGGAACGGACATGCACCACAACGCAGAAGTATGGTATCACTTGGAATCAATGGGAATGTGAACTGAGATTAACATCTTACGCAGCGCGCAGAGACAAAAACAGCCTTCAAGAGTCATACTCTTTTGATTTCGAGGAAAAAAGAGAACTAAAATTCTTTTGAAGATGACTGATTATGATTCGAGGAAGAAAAATGTAAAGAGATGGACGATAATCACGAAGCAACTAATGCAAAGATCAAATTAATTCACAAGTAAAAAGCTCAAAGAGCAGCAAGTCAAAATAAGAGACCCTACAACGATCGGACAAGGTTTGAGAATGTGAACTTACCTTTTTAGAAATTTTCTTGGTCCTTCTCTTGCGTTTTTCAGTAGCTCCGTCAGGATATGATTCTAAAAACCAATTCCAAGGTAAACAAACACACAAGCAGCGTTATCGTAGTTCATCAACACTGACCTAGGCCTCTGTCTTGTGCCACGATGGCGGTTTCCGATGCACCTTCGACAATGGAGCCGGAAGCGGGCAAAGCCTGAAGAAGCGACCTCTTTCGATTACGAGAGTAAAAGCAAAAAATTACTGAAAATTCTAGATTTGATTTGTTGTAGTTTGGAAGAAGAACTGAGAGTAAACACATGGACAAACAGACGAACAATTATGGTATCAAAAATGCAACAATCAAATGAACTCCAAAAAACTTCAAACAGCAAGCCAAATCTTATACGGCTCATAACTTACTTTTTTGGAAGCTTTCTTGCTCTTTTTCTTACGCTTCTCTGTCGAAACTTCGCTGGCATCTGCAGGTTCTGAAAGTGTTCGAAAATCGCAAGTAAAAAACCGATGAGCACAAAATTAGTGCAGGGATCACAAAGCAAGAATTTTTAGCAATAAATATATTACGAACCTTTATTTTGCGTCACTGTGGCAGATTCAGGGGCATGTTCGACGATGGGAGAGAATGCAGCTACATCCATGGGTTGTTCATCAGCTTTCTTGCGTAATTCGTCGGTTTGAGCGTCCTGAACTCCACCGGGTGGAGCAGCCTCGGACGATGCGGCTGATCTCTTTGGAGATATTGCAACTTGTTGCACCTCAAGCAACTCCAGCTTGTTAGACAAAGGAGCTCTCTTAGGCGATTTTTTCGGAGAGTCTCCAACTTGTTGCACTGTAGACAATTCGGGCCTGGATACGGGAACAAGCGTCTCACTTGCTTTTCTATCTTTCCTTTCCGGTGACGTGACTGGCGATTTAGCCTGTTTCTTTGCGGGAGACTCGAGCTTTTTTTCAGTCAACTCCTTTACTGGGCTAACGACATCGTTCGCACTTGTGACAATAACTTCCGGCTCGGCAATAAGTTTTCGACTTTTTCTTTCTGGCGATGCCAATGGTGATTTGGCGGGCTCTTTCGTGGAAGACTGAACATCTTTTGGCAATGCCTTTCCTGAACTAGCAAAATCGTCCGCACTTGTAGCTGAAACTTCTGGCTCAGCAATAGGTTTAGGAGAAGACTTAGCAGAAGAATGTTTCCTGGCGGGCGAAGGGGAACTTTTCGATCTCGGACTTGAAATTTTTGAGACCAAGCTTTCAACTGAATCTACCGAATCTACGACCCTCGTGACAGTATCCCTCACTGGTGAAGGTATCGATTCGGCAAATGAGATTCGCCTCAAAGTTGGACTTCTTAGAGGGTTTTCGGAAACAAGAGATGCCTTCGCTCCGCGTTTGGATTCTTCTGATGTCAGGGTTGTTATGGGAGACTTTGTTCCTTTCGCGACCTCCTTCGCAGTTGTTTCGGATCCTTCCTGGATGAGCGAAACTTCAGTATCACTTGTTTTCGAAAGGCTTGCAAGTCTGGGTGATTTCTTAGGGGACATATTGCTAGATCCCGCGTCCGCTTGTTCCGAATTGGAGCTCATGGCAGGTGCGGATGTCACCAAATCTTCAGAAGCATTCTTGGGTGGAATTTCAATGAAGTCATCTCCATGGACAGTGATGTCGGGACTGCTCTCTTTGACAGCTTTCCCGGTAGGGGTGATCTTCGGAGGAGATTCGATTATATCGTCTCCGAGGACTGTGATGTCAGGACTACTTTGCTTAGCAGTTTTTTCAACGCTCTCTTCTTGCAAAGGAGCAGCTTCTAGTGCAGCAATGACGGTGGTTAGCGACTTCTTCACTTCCCCTTCAGGTGAAGCAAGCCCTGAGTCATCTTTGGAGCCCGAATCTTTGTTTGATGCTTCCTTGAGCGTATTCGGCGCTTCCTCACGTTTTTCTTTGTCTTCAAATGTTGCCGCTTCATCGCCAACATTTATTTGTTCCTCAGGGACAATCTCGAGTTCTATGACATCCTTCGGAGTGCTTATTCCAGCTTTTCTCATAGCTCTAGTTATTCTAGCCGGTGATGACGGTTGAGGCGTCTAGATAACGAAACGGCATATATTCAGTTATTCAAAAGCAAAGCATCATAAGGTATATCTCACCTCACTAGATGATGACGATGCCCGTCGCCTTCTGCTTGGGGTGGCTAACACGCCTACGGGTGCCTGGGAATTCACAGCGCTATTGCTGGAAATGGATCCCTAAAAAGATTTGAACAATAGTTTCAGCATACAGTTTCAGTTCTGCGACTAAAGTACTAAAGGCTGTTGCGCACGTTATTCAACAAGTTTGCGCTCTGTTCTCACAAACTCTAAGCGGAACTACCAAAAAAGTGAAAAAATCAAGCTCAATGTAGCACAAATACGAAATTGTTAAAAAATGAATAAACCTGCAGCAGCGGCGGTCCGAATTTCGGGTGGGGGGGGGGGGGAAGAGCAACAAGGTTTTTCTGCATAAACAGGCCTCTTAGCGAAGCTCTCAGAGAACATTTTTGAGATGCTTGCCAAAAGCGAGCATATACCCTCGGAGCCTCAGAAAAAGGAGAAGAGACGTCGGCAGTCCAAAAATGAAATTTTCACAAGACCAATTTGGATTTTCATTAATTTTGATATATTTCGTTCATTTACAAATGCTCATTTCCATAACCCATGTAGGAAACTTTCAAAAATTTCGCGACCCGTTAGGCTTCGGGCAGAGTTCACGCGATTTGATCATTGCGATTCAATCGCTACAAGTGTTACGAATTCATTGCATGCCGATATTCTTGCATTTCGGCTGTGATAGTTAGTCACGATTAGTCGTGTTGGAAAACTATCACAACCGAAATGTAAGAAGATCGGCATGCAATGATATTGTTACGCTTGCCTTGTAGCGACCGAATCGCGACGATCAAATCGCGTGGCCACTCATCTGCGGCGAAAGACAGAGTAGACCGAAAGCATAAAATGTGCAAACTCTCAAGAAGCTTGATGAATCGCTAAGCAAATGAGCTATTTTGTTAGATACTGACCGCTTTCGTAGCATCAGCTATCAAGTTTTCCTGAGAAGCATTGGTATCTTGGAAGACGCTGTCAGATAAACTAGCACAACTCTCGGTATCCGACGCTTGCTGTAAATCAAGAGGAAACTTTGAAATAGAGAAGAACTCTTGAATGTACAAATGGATGTAACCTTTTTTCGTCCTCTCCTACTTGGAGTGGACGGAATTGGCTGAGGTGAGGCTACTGAAATGAAATTTCCGCTTGACAATGCAAGAACTTTTCATTGGTTAAACGTACCTGATCCATGTGGATCTGGTTCAGAACTTGCTCGTGAACCTAATGCAGACGACTCCAGCTCTTGGCTATCACTAGTCCTGAAAGGCTCCCTACTTCGCCAGTCATGAATTATTTTGACCAAAACCAACTTCACGTCCGTAGCAGACGCCCGCCGCGTTCGCCTTGTAGTTGCTGCAGGCCTTCTCGCTGTTGATGCTCTTCCCTACAAGTTTTTTAGATCTAACTTCATGTAAACACCGTTCTCCGATACACCAACCCTTGTTTGAACAGGAGGTATAACATCAGCTGCTCCAGCCTCGTCACTTTTTGTAGATGAAGATCGGGTACATACCATGACCCTAGAAAGTAAACATTTGAAAACTCGATATCGCACAAGTTCCGGTACACAATCACGGGACTTCGCGGTAATTCACGGCACTGGTCGATATCACCAGTTCAAGCACTCGCTAAACTGTTTTTTGCCAAAAAAGTCAAGAGTGGTATTTTAGCATATGAAAAGTCCAGTTCTCTTCTAACGATGAGAGAATCGCGCATACTACAACTGAAAACTCGGTAAGTTCTGTTATCATGTAAGTTGATTCGAGATCCAGACCAAATAATACAGACCTTTTGAGTTGTGAATTTGTGACTTTCTATACGCACAGATAAAAGGAAGCAAGCAACTGGGTTAACTGAAGAATTTTCTTGCCAGCCTTTCCGTTGACGAAGCATCAACGTACGACGACGCAGACTGAAAACCGCAAGCGCAGGAATTATCGCTGGACCGATCGTCACCTCGAAATCGGAATTGGGAATATCATTTATTTCCACAAACTAAGATTGTGCGCTTATAGTGAAGTGAGATGACCTTCAATATATTACTAAACGATCTACGAGGGAACGATATAGTATATCATCTTTGGGCACATTTTCTTTCAACGCTCTAGGGGCTCGATTGCCTGAACATTCTCTAAGTAAAACCCCTACTCGATCCTCCCAATGCTAGGCCTAACCGCCAAAGATGGGGAACAACAGAGGGTGAGGAGACTAAAAAATGCGCAATGCTTCCCTTGTCAGGAATCTATTGTCGGATTGAATTGCGCTACTTGGTGTGATTAGTATAGGCAAAGCTAAATAGTTAGAGGCTGATATTGAGCTAAGAATCTCCAGATAATAACGATAAAAACTTAAAGTTGAATGAATGATTGACTTAGTCACCACGGTGAGAACATACATCCAGATAGAAAATGATCAAAGGCGAACAACATCGTATAATACAAGAAGTGGTGCGATTACCCAAAATGTGTTTAGAAATTACTTTATGGCTCTGAAGGAAAACTGAGGAAGCCTTGACTCGAAATTCACTTGAGATCGGTGTGCTCTAGCGCGAATCTCTGCAACAGCGGCGCTGCGGAGCGTTTGTTGGCCGCAAGCCAGGGCTTATGCATCTTGACAAAATTCACTTCAACTCCGCTACTTTCAAAATGGGACGTTTCGACAGTTCTTCACGCTCTCAACAGTCACTTTCACTTTCAAAGCAATGTAGTTTTCAGGTTCCTCATTATTTCATTCAGAATGTACTCTGCAAGTCGGTCACATCGAGCTGAAACAAGAAATCGCACCAAAGACGAGCTGCGGAAAGTTATCAGTTCTATCGAGAAAGTCAGGAAGTGGGAGAAGAAATGGGTTCTCATCAAAGACACCTCTATCAAAATACAGAAATGGGTGCCAGGTTAGTCACTGCTTTACGTTTTCTTTCTGTGGTAGTGCGACACTTTTGCTAAATCATTTTCTCATGCATAATGAAGAATCATGAAATCTTGTTAGAATCCTAGAACGCTTTCAATGGTAAACTTCATTCACGAGTTCCTGACTGATGGTCAGTGTTTATTCACGCCCTGCGCATTAGCGTGATTAAATTATGAAAGTCAAGATGATAGAGCAGTTTCATTTTTTTGATTTTTCTTTATTTACTTTCATTTTTTGAGTTCATTGGCTTATCTTTTGAACATGTCAACCACAGTGTTGTCGGTGATCTCGCTTAAGTTAAGAAATGCCTTTTCATTTAAAGCGGGCCTCTTGTAGACTTTTTTTTGTCAGACTAGCAGTTCTGTGAAAGCAATCAGGATGTAGAAATTCTTATGAATTTGACGGAAAACTATATGAATTTTGAGATTTGATAGGAACAACTTAAGCTCGCATCTTTAGTGAATTTCAGAGGACCTTTGAGGAATTGCACGATATCCATTTCCTCAATAATTCTTCATTTATGATGAAGCTCTTCAACAGAAAATTCAGATTTTAGCATTTAAAAAGATCATGTAACATGCTGGAAGTTTTCCTCTGCCTCTCGTGACAGGTTCTTGTGTATATTACTCACCAAGATGTTTCTAGTGATGACCTTTCTCACTGAAAAAATCAGATCTTCAGCTTTAGGTCAAGGAGCAAAGCTTTGCAAGCATTGTTGACAGCCTAACTACGTGGCTTTACTTTACATAAATTTGCAAACTTAATGTATACTAAACTTTCCGATTTGTTTCCCACTGTAGACAGATGATTGGTGAATTCGTATCCATGAGTATGAATAATTATAACCGAATTTTATACGTCAGAGAAAATGACTCACTTGGTAGATGGGGTTTTTTGTTTTCTTCTGCTAGGCAATGACGGAGTTTCTCCAGCATTTTTCTCGTTCTAAGTCTCTATAGATGTGAAAAGTTTGAGATTAAAATACTGTTTGCTGCTTCCCTGTAAAGAGATGGGACCGCTAGATACGTTTGCCACGTTCTAGCTCGAAAGAAACTTCTGCTTTGATGTTGCGAATGCACCCGATTTGCGAGCTTAATCCTGGGTCAGACTTCGAACGCACCTATTGATAGCTGCCCTAAAGGCAGCGTCCAGGCAGATCTGGACATTTTCGGTTACTACCATGATCGGGTACTAGGATCTTGATCCAGAACTATCGCGCAAATCCGACTCTCAAAAACCATCTGTAAAAGGAGAAAATCGGAGCAGAAAACGCCCTCGAGGACCACGCCCACTCCCTCACACGGTCCGTCCTTTGAACGAACTTTCCTCAGGCCTTGACGGGTTTTCACGTGGCAACACTCGAACACTGGAGACGGTCTTTTCGCACGGTGGTCTCCAGCGTCTCCCCGGTTTAGACTTGTCATAACATGTAATGCACGCCGCAAACCTTTCCTCCCCCTGTTTTGCTTAGGCAAAAGCCGTCGCAGGGTGTGCCGCGCGCGGCGGTGGTGTGTGGAAAGCATTGGTCGTGCGAATCGTCCTAAACCCGGTTTTTTGAGGAATTCACACATTTTTAGTGCCTTACTTGGGATCAGCGCCATGGAAAGGCCTGGATAAGGCAAAAAAATAGAAGTTGAGATTCTGCCTGGGCGCTGCCTTTAAAATATATGGGAAACATCATCGTAGGAAGCGTTTGAGTCTGTCTTCTGAGCTCAGATGCTGTTTGATCGTCGCACAAATAGCTCAGTGGAGACCGTTATTAGAGAAATTGTTACTTTTTGGTGGAGTATAACGACTTCTCAATTTTGTTTGTAAAATGTATAAAGGAGAAAGTTAATAGCTTTATTTTCTATTGATCTCCGTAATATTATAACGCTATATCCATTCTATTAGATCTATTTTGAATGGGATATACTCAGTATTTTTGAACCTTCCAGTAAGAAATCCATATCTCCATTTTCGACGTTCCTTGACGGTGACGTTAGAAATAGGTCAAACAAACAACTCTTTTTTTTTAAATGTGTATTGTTTTCTTTCAGTGACAGCACAAATGAATATACCACCGCCGAAAATTCCGAAACCGCAGGTGGATGAAGATGCAAGTAATACTATACAATCTACTGAAGAAAACTCCCAAGGTAAGTATCTATTTTTATTCCACTTACTATTTGCGCTGCATCTTGTTTAACTCATGAAGGAGCTCTTATGAGCTAAAATTCTCAAATTGATAGTGACTGGCTATCTTATTACGTCATTTGCTTGATCTGTATATAACAGGATAGTTTTTTACATTTTCCGTGTTTAGCAAAATTGACGTACTAGTCATTACCCTTACTCTTTCATACTGTTTGACTTTAATTTTAGATTCCAACACTGCCAACACCGCTCCACGGCTAGCTCGCTTTGGCGGGAATGCTAACGATGATTCGAATACGGGTTTCTCTGAGACCGGGTTCGACTCGGACTCCAATCAGACGTTCGAGCCACAGAATTACCAACCTACCGCTGAGCATGCTTCCACAGACTTCAGTGCTATGCGAGACGCCGAAATGGGCCACTAAAGCACTATTTGCTTGTGGTTGTTTTGCCATGATCTCTACATCATTTTGGTAAAATTCGCATTGTTGTAATCATGTACAGTTGTTGTAATCACCAATTTATTGGATAAATGTAATATGGCAAGTCTGGGACTTATGTACAAACAGTACAAACAACAGCACATAAAGGCAGTGCGATAGGACAACACAGGAAACGAGATTAAGATGTTGAAGTGATGAAAAACTGAGTTTCGATGCAGAAGGACACGATTTGATCATGATCGTTGTGGCGATAGGTAGAGTATAGCAGATCTGTTTGAATCGGGTACCTATTTTCTAAGTAGCCTGTTTACCGCAACCTGTCCGCGTAGCGTTGCTTGTAGGTTAGTAGATCTGATGGCTTATATAGTGCCACTGCGGTGAATACAGCACTTGCGCGCATGCAAAAAGTCTCGCTTAGACGCCGGCAACTCCACGCATAGAAGCCGTTGGGGGTGTAATTCAAAATTCTACGCCCTATGGCTAATCGTGCTTGTTCTGAAGTTGTCTTCCGTAGGGGCCGCAGGAGCATATGGATCATTTATTAAGTTGAACACTAAGTTTTGCAACTTGTTTCATAACTTCACTCCCATTCAACATGGCGCACTCAAGCTTTGGCATCATGTAGAATGCAATGTGAGCTACAAGCGAGCACAAATTGTCTGAATTTTGAACACGATATAGAAAAGTTTCAGGCATTTTTCGAAAACTAGTGAAATCTGTGAATTTTTGGGCTTTCAAGCTAAAATGAAGCCTTTGGCAGCCTAGACTATGCGCAGTAATCCGGATTCGTCTATAAATTATTGCTGGAGGTTGACTCCTTTGGCCTAGTAAGAAAGAAACAAAATTCAGGGGCATGTCGAGATTTGGCGTCCTCACAAAGTCAAACGAGCCGATGTACGCAAGAGCTGCTAGAGACGACCGTCAATGACTAAAGAGTCCGAAGCTCAAATTCCACCGAGACTTTACATATTAAGGTTATCTGGCCTGCTAAACACGAATATCATATTCATTTGTTAAACCAACGCCTCTTTCATTGTTTAGGGTAAGACCCCATATCGTACACCTACAGTAATCCTACAAAAAAGCCCTTATCACGCAACTTCACTATCGTTTTCGTGATCAGCATGTCGGATAACACCCCTATGCCAAGTTTCAGCCAAATCCGTCAAACTTTGAATTTTTCCCCTTCATACCATACACCTACCGTAACCCTCACTGCGACGTCAGAATTTGGTAGGACAGCAGCTGCGCTTGTAGCTTACATAATAAGCAACACAGTGGCAAAATTTGAGTGCACCATGTTGAGTGAGATGGAAGTTATGAGACCAGTTGCAAAACTTAGTTTCCAACCTAATATTAGCCCAACACATATACCGTTGGATCATAAAGTCCTCGAAAAAAGCACTACCATCGTTTTGAGCAGGTCACTGTAGCGCACAGGAGCTTCAACCGCTCGCGAGTATGTGTGCAGCCGACACGACGCGGACAATCACGTATGAACAGACGTCTGTATAACAATTGTTCCATACAAAAATTTCTGTGAAAATCATTACCTAAACTATGGCAAGGAAGGCAATATGCCCTGATAGGGCAATCGATGCTGCGCGACCCGTGAATTTGCTTGAAACCCGATTTTTCCATTACCACATGGAATGCTTTTCAAGGCTGATACGTTCGCTGTATGAAATTAGACTAGAACGAAGCAAAAAATAACGAATATCAATCCGATTGTGAGCGCTTGTGAAGCACTTGTCTGTGGTGAAGCTTGGTGTCGCGAGTAACTTTCACTCTTGCAAAAATCCCAAAATTCTGAGATCGTTATAGGGTATCCTTTAGAGACGGGCAGTCGGTAGTCTGTAGTGTTCATCCGGTATACGAGATCGTTGCGTATGAAGTATAATTCTGCAAAGTTATGTTACGGTTTGGATTGAAGATCTCATAAAGTTTTGCAGGACGAAGGCGGTTGGGCTCTAGGATGCATCCAGAGTGCCCGTGCCAGCCTGACGTGCTGAAACCCAGGTTAACGCGTTCCATATCGATCGATCGGCGTTCCGCCACGGCGCTGGAGCGGCACTGGCACAACACTTGTACGCGGGCGACACTGGCACACCATAAGCGGAGCAGGCGCGGAATTACAGTTTCTACCTGGGGTGCATGAGGCTTATGCGCTTTCTTTGATTTTTTTTGGAACCGCCTTGGCCCGGCAGTAAACTTTACCAGGTTACCTTTTTCCTTGCTGAATGCTGCTGTGGCTCCATCTGGAACGTTCTTCCAGTTCAAATCAATACGTCGAGCATAGGAATTCTCGACCTTTTTGGTCCTCACGTCTAATTTCCAGTACTCATCCTCTGCCCAGAGATACGTTGCGGGTGGACTGAAACACTGCAAGTTCGAGAACGTGAAACACTGAGGCCTGATCCAAACCTACTCAAAATAATGCCAGCGATAAGCTAATCGAATTCTTGGCACGTTTTCCGGGATTCCCAAATGTGTTAACGGTTTGGGCCCATGCAAAAGACGCCGTTCAGAGAAAATCCAGTAACGCTGACCTGAAATGATCGAATCAACACTGCCCACATCATGAAAGATGACGATTACCAGCAAAGATCCATATTTGTCCATGCACTTCGACAGCAGCGTCTATTTTTTCGGGTAATCCCGGGAAAATATCTGAGATCAAATTTGGCCCATAGAGTGTTTGCCCGCCATTCACCACTCGCCACAGCCATTTATTCTAAATTAACACATTCACGCCAAGGTCAATTTTCCGATCATTGCCGTTTCGGACCAGAGGTTTCGCTTTGTCAAACTCCCACCCATGGGTCGTATTGTCCGAAATGGTTGTCTTTTGAAACAAATTCAAAAGATGCCTCCGAGAATGCTACCAAACGGCTTATCGAAGGCGTTGATTATCAAAATATAATTTATTTCAATTTTTGGCGTTATACGGTAAGGTCAAGGTAGTCATTTAGTACGAACCCAACATCATGTGTTTTCATTAAAAGGGTGTTTTAGGGTTATTTTACGTACTGATCATTATAGTGTCCACTTTATTCACAACTTCCCCACAGTAGCGTTACGGTAGCAGAACGGTAAAATTTCCGCAAAAATCAAGAAACTAGTGTGAGAAGGCGGTAATCAAACTTGAGACTATCATTTTCGTAATCAACACTCTAGAAAACCTACATATGTAAGATTTAAGCTTCCCGGGATGAATATTGCAAAAATTAATAAAATCAATAAAATCGATGATTTTATGATAGGCCAACAAGAGTCTTCTGCTAGCCACGTGCAAGCATGCATGCATGCATTCGTGCGTGTGCACTTGAATTCTCAGAAACAGCATCATTCCGCGAAGAATTTGAACTTAAGTTTGTATTCTATCTACGGTATACCTACCGCAACATTACCTTACAGTATCCCGATCTCGGAACACCCTTACCTTCGCCTAGGTGTCCCCAATCATGTGCCAGAACCCCATAGAATTCCATCGTAAAATGGCAAAGCTAGAGTTTCAGGAATCTTACGACCCACCGGTGGGTCGCATTGTCGTGAATGTGTTAAACTGGTTTTCATATATTAGCCCAATTTTCGTTTCACGATATAATCGAGCAAACTTTTTCCAGTTGTCAAATTTAGCCACCTCCATTTGCGCAATCACAATTCTGGCGCTATATTTCTGCATGTTTTTTCGACAATAAATGTTCTGCCAAGTTTCCAAAGACTTACCTTGAAAACGATAAACTCTCCTCGATAGGTTGTGGTAGCATCAGCACCCGAAAAGCATGGCTGGGGTACCCTGAAGCAATGATAACGAAAAAGTGCAGATACTTGTTCAACTTTATTGCTTGGAAAGAAAAACCGGATAGGAACGCCTTAACATATCTATCCGGAAAGTCTTGAGCATTTCAGTCCATGTCTCTAACAAGGGAAGAAAGGATACCAACATAGTCGGCGAGTAAAGATGAGATGTATATCGGTAGACGCGGCCGGGTTTGCCATCTAGTCTATTCTACTCTACTACTCTATCCTATTTATCTTTTATCAAATCTACTTCCCTTTTTTGCGGAATGAGTTACCGAAAGAAGTTGTGGGCGTTCAAATGTTCAAATTTGTCAAGGTTTAGGTGGCCTAAAATTGGCGAAAAGCTGTACAAAAACACTGGAAAGTGGGGAATCATTTTTGTATCGAGCATATTGTTTGCAAGGAAGGAACAAAGCGGTGGAAATCGCATAGATGTTGTTTTGAAGCTTTTCGCGGATTTTAAGCCACTCAATGCTTGGCAAATCTGGACATTCAAACACCCATAACTTCCTTCAGAAACCTATTCCGCAAAAAAGGAAAGCAGATTTGGAATCAGCGTTCAAAGGCGCATCTAATTATATACACCTCTTTTTCAATTGCCAACTAATGTTGGTATCCTTCCCTTGTAAGAATGTAAGTCCAAAAACTACTGTAAGGGTTACATGCGCTCCGATGTTTTCGTTTGCGGGAGACGAGTAAAGTGAAGGCAATAAAGCGATAAGTTTTGTCTTTAAAAGTTTGCTCATTGAAGACGAAAACCGCACTTTTCTACGTTAAAAATTCTAAGCAAGAGGCGAGTATGCTGAAACAGCACTATTTACCATTCTATTTATCATTTTATTGTTTTTCCGCATCTGTTATGGATGTTCGAAGAAGGCTTACTCATCCAAGTCCTCTTCGTGCTTCTCTCGCTCAGTTTCTTCGTCTTCTTCTTCTTGACTATTTCTTTCCTCTGTCGTTTCTATAGTGGGTTTTGGGTGCTTATGCCTTTGCGAAATAGGTGGTCCTGAAATAGCGTTCGCGGGTCAGGCCGGTTAGTAAGGGAACGGCCATAGGTTGCCGGCAACGGTTGCTGAGGTTGCCGAGGTTGCCGGCGTTGCCGGGGTCAGAGACAGCTTAGAGAGCGCGCTAAAAGTGGAGGCTATCATGAGGTAACAAGCGGTAACGCCGGCAACCTCAGCAACCCCGGCAACCTCGGCAACCCCAGCAACCGCGGCAAGCCTTGCCAGCAACCTATGGCCGTTTCCTAAGGGCAACACTTGAACTTACCATACATTGCCTGTATCGTTTGTATATCTCGTGGGGTGAAGTGCTGGCCTTCGACAAGGATCGGGTACATCACGCTGTTTGCGTCATTGAACACATGTGGTAAACCAAGCGAATGCCCGACTTCGTGGATTGCAGTTGCTAGTAGCAGGGAAGCTGTAAAATATCCTGCATTTTTAGGCAGGTCTCGGTCCTGAGTGTTTTTACGTAGAAATTGATGGCTTTAACTAACCACTGCCCAAGTATTCAACCCTAAACGCTCGCCCAGTATCGTACCCTTTCCGAGTGTCGTGCTCAGTTACGGTGTAGGGCAAGGACTCCTTTTGACCTCCCAAGCCTTCCAACCTACAGGTGGGAAAACCAGGTCCTTAGATTTGACTGCTTGTTGCACGACATCTGCCTATTGCCAAGAAAGGTTCAACCTCACCCAATTTTGCTTTTAGAGAAGTCGAAATCAAGGTCCCAAGTAGATAGGATTATTATTGCTCCTTTCAAACTGTTTACCAAAAAGCCGCAATGATATTTTTTAAACAAATAATCCTTCTGAACTGAGACTATTTTTGATTGCACTGTACTAGTACTTTTGCAGAGCGAAATCAACTCTCCGAATTTGAAGAACTTGAGCCTTAAAGTTTACTATCAGTGAATAATTTGCCTGCGCCGCAAACATCCGCAGCGAAAAAAAAAACATTCGTCTCTTAACTTGTTCCCCATTCATCTTTTCGTCAAAAATTTCATTCTGCTTTCCTGCACTTTCCTCTCTCAACCTCTCATACTGTAAAGGATGAAATTTCAAAAAATAATTCGCTTGAAAAATTACTCAGAATAGAAACCAAGCGAAAACTTCGCATTTTCAAGTTACGGCCTATTAGCACCATGAATGTAGTCAACTAATTCAACACACAATTCAATTTGACGTCATATTAATGGAAAGTGGGATCTGTACCTACTGTACCTACCAGAAGTACCGTAAACCCAAAAACTTCAATAGCAGATTTTTATTGGGTTGCGGTTTCAACAACCTGTGCCATAAAAGATACGCAACCATTGATGGGTGGATAGTCACGTGGTATTTTTGAGTACTTCAAACTTCCAAAATGAAAAATGGTCCCGCCTAGACAGTAATCCTAGACTTCACAGACTATCATAGGCTGTTGTAAAGTATTCAGTGATCTTTTACCGATACGTTCACTTGTTTTTACCTACAATAGGTGCTACTCCGGCATAAAAAGGATCTACCTATTTCAGTTTTAACCAGTAAGAAACCAACTGAGTTGCATTTTAAAGTCTGCATTTATTTTGAAGATGTTCTCTCTGCATTACCCGTGCAATAATTGTGCTTGATTCTGACAATGGCCAAAATGTATTTGCCATAAATTTGTTTTTGCTATTGAGAAGCCCAACCTCTTTTTCTATATATTCACAGTCAGCGGCCACTTCTCAAAACTCTCTAAGCTTCTTGGGTCCAAAACTTTTCAAACGCTCGTGATTTAGCTTATCCCTATGAAATTAATCATTTACCTACCTTCTTAATCCGCTATGTGACATAGAGATTAGAAGTTCAAGTCCCCAAGTTTTATTACGTGGATTCTGACTTACAGCTCCACGGTACGTCATCGTTGAAGTGGATGTCGCCGATGAGATTCGATGGATCGTCCTTTGGTTCGAAGGACGTACCCCTCGGTCGAAAGGCATGAGCAAGCACTGATGACGTGAATGGATATTCGCATTGATGGTATCCTACCTATAAGACACTCAAAATCTCGTATAAACCAGTTCATCTGCAAAACAATTTTAATGTTATTTTGAGATACATATCAAAAATTAGACCTGTATTCTAAGCCGCTAGATTCGTAGCAGTCCAGTGATGTGTTCAGTCTCTTCAAAAATCTTCTTCAAAAGAAGTTGTAGCAATCCGTCGGTTTTTTCACGATAAATACGCAACGACGGAAAAATTTATCGCAATGCGCTTTTTTTTCCAAGAGTTAGGAGCCCAGTTGTTTTAGGCTGCTGCATAGTTCTGTACGATTTGAATTTTTTGAGTCCAAAATGTCATAACTTCTTACAGAGTTAACCTTTTTCTAAGGTCTTAGTTTCTGTGTGTTGAGCGCTTTCTTGGCTATCAGAAAAATATTAAGGCTTGCGAAAATCCTTGTTAAGGAAGAAGCAAGAACTCGAAAACTTCACACCGTTTTTTCAAACCTGTCTTTTTTGACATGGCAATGCTTCCTTACGAAAATTAATAGGCATCTTATCTAACAATGGATAGATAGAGAAATTCTTGCAAATTATTTTGTAATATAAAAGAGCCCATAGGGTTTGCGTTGCCGAGAGATTTTTTTGACCGAGCTAAAAAGAAGCCACTTTTTGACTTTGCTTCAACGCATGTGTGCATGCCTATTCACAAATTATGAAGATTTTACAATTGATATGAGCGCCGAAAAGAAAATGGTGAATGGGCTCTGCTAGCTCTTGCTTGATCCCTAGCACCTCCAACTGAGCTTATCGATTACTTTTATTGGCAGGAAGTTGTTGCTTGTAAATATTAATACAAAAAATTGATGTTCGACAATGAATTTCAGTGACAAGACGTTTTCTTCATGAAACTGAGCTTTTGCAACACTAGCCTTCTACACCCTTATTCCGTAACCAATGAAAGAACTTGGCTTGAAGGGCCCATTGTGGAGATTTCCTCGCAAGAACGTATTTCCAAGATGAGAACGTACCTCAACCACTTGGAAATCTTAGGCCTGAAATCTCCTCACACTAATAAATTTATTGAAATTTGATATGCTTTGGAAAGAGCAACAAGAGCACTTTCTAATAGTACTAACAGTACCGCATTAGAGATGGAAATCTCTTAGAAGAGCTGCTCCAAACATAAGGCAAAAAGAATCGGACAGAACTTATGCAGCAGCCTAATATTTTATAGGTGCTGCTTACATGGTGCTCTCAAATAGTGTCAAAACGCTATTAACAGACGCAGTTATCATAAGTTTGCAAACGGACTTCCTTTTGCCATAGTTTATGCTGGGTGTCTCATAAAATGTCCTACTGTTTGATTGTTAATAATTCCTCTCGCTTGTTCTCTATTGTTTTGTAGAGCAAAGTTCAACTTAACTTTACAGTCTCTTCATTACTAGGTTTAGGTAGAGTAGAGGCTTAAAATTTTCTCTCGAAGCAATAAAGTCCATCTTTGCCTTTGCGTGGAAAGGCTAAGAACTTTTGCACTGTGCTAATCAAAGTTATTTCGAATGTAATGTTTCACGATACCGTAATGCTTCTCTTACATTTCATGCCATCATGCAACAACACCTTTTTCTCTCAAGTTCCTCAAATTGTTATACCGCTTCGTCAAAAAAATAAAAATAAAAGAGCGCGTAACGAACTGTGCCGTGAAATCAGCACAAATCGAAATCCCTATACAACCTTCTGGATTTTTCGTTGAAAATTTTTTTCAACGGCCTATTTCATAATGTCGCTGTATGCTGGGGGTTTTTAGCACAATCTTACAGCAATAAAGAGCAACGATAATCTGCTCCAAACTGCAACTCTGACTTGAAGCCACACCACAGATAATACATCGAAAGCGGGAAAAAACATCGCAAGAGGTTCTCAACGATCAAACATTAGTGACATTTTTAGCCCTTGTATTTATTACAGCAGCAGATATATAATATAACATCTAATCGTTCATTGAAGAACTAACTGTGTCAAAATTGCAGCGATGTCAAATCTTTGCAGACACGCTTGCTACTCATATCTCTCCCTTTACCCTTCCTGTTTTTTTCCTCTCAAGAGGTTGGACAATCAAAATATGTCCGAATCATGAGACTGGGAGCACAACAGGTGCTACTGGTCGTAGCTTATAAATCTCATGGCCACAGAAAAAAGCGCTGCAAGTATTTCTTCGAATTTCCAACAAATTGTACTCATCTACAAAAATTGCATAAACGTCGAGGACTTTGGGGACAAGAAAGGTACACATATGCTCAGTAAAATATGGCCACTGCACCGCAATTACCTGTACCTGAAAATACTTGTACAAAGCTCACCTTGCTCAAAATACAGCAAAGCACAGAGACATAATGATCTAATATACACGCGATTCATAGCACGCAGAGACTGCGGACATATCGGCGTCTCTTTGATTTAGAGCTCTTTCGTTTCTCTTAGCATCTGCCGTCTCTTCCATGCACAAACTATCTTGATGGGACGCAACGGCGCCAGTCTCTGCGTGTCTTGAATCGACGATACTAACAGCCGCACAATCCAGAAAAAGTACGGGAATTTGCGACTTGCACGAAATTGAGCTTATAAATATAAATTAAGTGTTTGAGACAGACTATTTGCAGATTTTATCCATGCCTGTAATAAGTGTCAGACCTCTCTGTACCTTTATCGATCTTACACCATTGAAGGAATTTTGTGGTTTGAAAGGGCTTTCACATCATATCAGTGCCTCGAGTGCGGCTTTTACAAGTTTGTTTCAGATGCAGTTTCGAATTTTCAGATCAAAGAAGTTACGATGACCGACGACTCTTTTTTAGAGTCACCAGCGGGTTCTTGTAAGATTTTGTGGGTGTATGTCAAGAGGGGCGCTATTGCCAGATGGACATTCACATAACACATAATAAGTGTTTTATAACTTTCTAAAAGTATTCAAATTTTAAAAAGGGACATATGAGATAGCTGCATACGTTGTACAACCTTAATACCTTGTAATCAATTCAAAACAGTAATTTTAAAGGTAAAAATTTCATGAAATGCAGTTAGGAACAATTTCGTGAATATTTCGGTCCTTTTTCCAGCAAAAGCCACCAAACTCAGCAAGTGGTAACCTCAGACAGATAGTAAGCTAATGCACTTTATCTGGTATAAAGACTCGCATAGCAATGAGCTGGAGTTTTGAGTTGGTGACAGCCGGATAAATCGCGTTTCTTGACCGTCTCCCAGATTTTGTGACTTTGAGATCGTAATTCTACACAAGGGTATATCATTTCAAGATTCCAAGATCTTCTCCTTAAGAAAACCTTTTTTCCCTTTCCAGCGTATCTCCACTGTTATTTTCAATTTCTTTGCCGTTATTTCATTTAGCCATTAAAAAACCAATTTCGATCGAATTCTAACTGGCATACATAGCAATATTTCACAATGAAACTCTTACACAGCAGTCGAATCTCCGAACTTACCCCAAATCTCATATTCATGATCGGATCTTGAGCTCGACGAAACTCCAGATTCGCATGCTTCTGCCACTGGGCCAACGCTTGCGTGATCGCCGCGTCAACACTGCCTGGATCGAGCCGTCGCGACCACGAAGTAACTCTGGAAAGAACTTGCAATTACCAGAACATCCCCTACTTTACACATTTGATATGCAATGCTGAGTCAGCGCGAGGGGTCTGGTGACCGACTTCTGTTCCACATCTGGTGTCGAATCTCGGCCTAGGCAAAGGATTGTGGGCTGTGCACAGCAGTGCGCGCGTTTTGTCGTAAACTAAACTATGGGCTGGCTATCGATCGTTAGCCAGGAGGAAATTATCAACAAAACTTTCGGAGAAGGAATTCTAAGCAGAAAAATCTTTCTGGGTCTTTTTTGTGCGATCAATTTAGCAAGAGCGATTAGCTCAAAGTTTGTTTGCTTAAAATAGCAGTTGTTAACTTACCACAGTTACCGTAACACTTCTGGACACTTTTTTTTCACAGATATCTATTCTAAAATGTTTATTAGCAAAAGACTCATGTGGTAGAGAGATTACAGTCTCCCAGCTACCTTTTTACCCGATAAAAAGCAAATAATTAAAAATTGACGGGCTACGCGCAATACTTCACAAAGCACATTATTACGACACAGCATTATTTTTCTGGTATTCGTCAAATACTATGAACTATTACATTCTTTGTCACTTGCTTAGCAATAGAAGTTGCCGACGCATGTTTTCAATCTGATGTTCATTTTTAAGCAATGTATGTAAAAATTCAGAATGAGATGAGAACTTCAAGTTGAGAGATTGTGCAAGTAACTTGATCTTTTTAAGGAAGTTTGAAGCAATTCCTCAAATCTTATAGTAATCCAAATAAAGTTGTAAGGCGAATTTTGTATGGAATTTATTGCAGAATACCCGGAAGAATCCAAAAAAGTTCGCGTTCCAGGAAATGTCTTTAACTGAAAAGAGATTTTCTGCTAGCGATTTTTCTGAGGTAGGAAATTATGCAAATGTTTTTTCTGAAGAAAATTTAAAAAATTCTTCAACTCCAAAAGAATTCGAGTAAGCTCTTGAAACTCCTCCGGGACCTGCAAGCAGGGCTCGGCACGAGGTGGCTAAATGAAAATGGAAAAAACGCAATCCCCCTTGACTTTTGGGAATTTTTACGAAGTCTCCTTTGACCCTCAACCGAATTTCCTCTAAAAACCTGAAAAATTCCCCAAAATCCCCCAAAAAACGAAACGTCGATTAAAAAAAAACGTCGCCAAGTCGCCAATTTTCCGTCTTTCTTCGGTCACAAAAACGAAACCCCTTTGCTTTTCGTCCCAAAAACGATATCCAGCTTGCTTGTAAGCCACCTGTGCCGAGCCCTGCCTGCAAGTTGCAAAATACCTACGAAGCTTACCA